AAGCTAGAGTAGTGGATGACTTACACTCCACAGCTAAGCTAGAGTAGTGGATGACTTACACTCCACAGCTAAGCTAGAGTAGTGGATGACTTACACTCCACAGCTAAGCCAGAGTAGTGGATGACTTACACTCCACAGCTAAGCCAGAGTAGTGGATGACTTACATTCCACAGCTAAGCCAGAGTAGTGGATGACTTACCAGAGTAGTGGATGACTTACCAGAGTAGTGGATGACTTACCCTCCACAGCTAAGCTAGAGTAGTGGATGAAATAATGTCATTTTAGGGTTTTCTGATTCAAAGCATGTATTTGGGTGGACACTTTGATATAGTTTTATCTTAAAATACTAAAACTTAACAATTAATATGATCAATAGCACTGATAAGAATTTTATAGCACAGAAAATATGATTTTAGTGATATACATGTATAAATAAGCACTACTTTGACGTTAAGTTAGGTGTTATCATTTCTTAGGTAATACAAATGTACTGACTTCAATTTCAGAATTAGTGATAGATTTGGTTATGTTTAATTTTTTTAATAATTATTTCAATCATGGTGAATTTACTTGTTTTATTTATTGCTTTCTGTATAAATATAGAATAGACGTCGTATTAAGCTTATAACGGATCATCATTCGATTTCAATGATGGACAGAAATCTGGTCCATCACCTTAATATCTTTTCAATTACAGTGATTATTTGAGGTAAATCTTGCCCACTGTTATAATAGCATTTCAATTATTATAGAGTGACTATTTGAGGAAAAAATCTGGGCAAAGTTTTTTTTTACAGATATACCATAAAATGCATTTCAACTAGATTTCAGGAGACCTATGTCAATTTGTGGTGCAGCAATAGACAAACGATATGGAAACTTGTATTTCAATTTGCTATGCAAAGAATATTTCTAATCCGTTTCAGTTTTATGTAATCTTCATATATTCGCCTATGTGTACTAGGCTAAACAAATATGAGCTGTTACTGGTATCTGTTATTGCCGATTAAATTTATGAACTGGCCTAAATGATATTTTGATAGTGACTGTTGTCGGATGATTTATGATTTGGTATGAAGTACAAAGTGTTTACAGTGCTTTCTCTGTTTGCAGACAAACTACAACATGTTGCCGGTTCTGAACTCGACCAACAACACGTCTACCTCCCCTGCCCCAAAGGGGTATGTGGGGAAGAGAAATCCCCTCCACGACCATCACCCTCCGAAGCAGAGTCACGACCACCACCACCACCACCACCTGCCGAACATCTGACTCTACGGCCAAGGGGTGATGCGTCATGATGGCAACTAAATGTCTGCTGGTCATCATGACACAGAATCCTGGAGGCCAATGTTTTCATTGTGTCGGGAGCAATGGACATGTTGTGTGCCTTTCACACCCTTGTCTACAGCTTCTTGCTCTCACCTACCTGTGTATCGTTTTAAAATGGACTACAAATAAGGTTACCCCGCATCAACCATGGTTTGCTTGAACATGCTAAAATGTATTGTTTTCCATTCTGGCCACGTGTACAACTATTATTTTAAAAAAATAAATAAATAAAAAAACAGTATTTGTTCAGGAGAATTCTTTTTAAATAACAGAACAAATGGCTAAGTTTTCAGCAAGCTTTTAAGAAAAATTCTAGCTAGCACAATGGCATGCGACTATTTTACAAAATAATTTTGTTGCAATTATCATTTGAATTTTTAGAGGGGTAGGGGATATGAAAACAGAATTGCCGATTTCATTTTTTTGTTTTTTTTATAAAGCATATGAAAGGCTATTATAATATAACAGTTGAAATTTAACACATGGAAAATCTCGGTATGGAAAAACTACATGTGTGTTTCTCAAACCATGGTTTTACATTGATTTTCATTATGAGCAATTGCTAGAGGTAGAAAAAGCCTTGACGTGCATTTGTGTGTAATTTTTCACTCCCCAGTTAGCGTAGATTTTAATATCTATGTGATCGACACACATTTGATTTGTCACCAGTGCTTAGTTATCTAATCTTAATGTCATCAGGGTTGGTATGTATGGTTTTAAAGGTCTCAGTTGTTGTTTTTGTTGTTGTTGTTGTTGTTGATTTCATGTGACATTTTTGAGTAGCTGGGGTGGTTTAGGTTTACGTTTAGTCCTTGATTGTTAGCTGCATAGACTTAATAGTATGGTAGTTGCTTATTACCGAGAGGTTGATACGGGAGTGGAAAAGGTTATGAACATATGATAGCATTTTAATCCTAAATGACAGTTGATGCGGGGGCCTATATAAGAACGTCTGTGTATGTTTGCACTTAAGATAAAACTGTTTATTTTGTTCTCTAATTATATCCCCTCAGTAGCTAGTAGAAAAGTAATTCATAATTTTAATGGATGAGAGATTTTTTATTTATTTATATATACTGTATAAAATAAAAAATGTGATCAAGCTTTTTAATTGACTGGCATATTACATAATTGGTCATTAGAATTTTATTCTTTTATTCTCTTGTGATAAAAAAATATGTAGCAGTAAATAATTAAACCAGTATCAGTAAATGTTAAACAAATTTTACTGTCGTGATTAAGTTATCATACTTGTCCATATGAAGTTTTGGAAAAGGAAGGAAATGTAAGAGACCAATATATTTCAATAAGCCAGTCAATTAAATGTTTTAAATGTGATATTTTGCCCCAATTACAGTAGGAAATTTTTACAAATATATCTTATTATTTCTACAGATCTGCCATAAAAGAACTTGATATTTTTTCCAAAGATAAATGCCAAGTTGTTGTATAAACTATCTTGTATAGATATTATATATATATACATATTGTTTAAAGCCCATAGGAGCGGTAAGTTTTGCTGTGAAGATGGGTTTCTCGCCGGTGTTGAATGAAATTAAAATGTGCATGAATGATTCTAAAAATAATTATATCAGTAAAACACCTACCGGTAATACCAAGACAAACCAATTACTAAACACTTTCAAAGATTAAGATTTCGGATGTTTTGGGTGTGTATTTTCTTTCAAATTTTCAAGAAAATAATAAAAAAAATATTCCAGCTTAAGAAATGCACCAATTTACGAAATAAAACGATAGTTGTACACAAAAATAACACTATGTATATCCAGACCAAAAAACTTGCTTTTTTTTTCATGCCATTCCCTTTGCCTGTGTGTAGCTAGCATGTACTTAACCAGAAATTCAACTATTTATATACATATATTTGTATATATATATTTGCTTGAGCACCCCTCAGAGTTTGTATATATGTAAAAGACAAGACACCCTTTTCACTCCGTTGCTTCCGAATAGCCTCTGAAAATTTGCCTCCAAAATTGTCCATTTTTACCATCGATTCTTCATACTGAGGTCACTTAACATTGGACCTATTTTTTATTGTATTTATATTTTTGTGTAACACTTAAGTACCTCCCATCATACATTAGTTGGCAACAAAGAATGTTACCTTGAAGTCATATACTAAAAGCCCATACCTGGTGTTGATAAGAATACTACGGCTGGAAATTTTAATGATCTACATTAGATCTATCTAGGTCACATACTCATCCACTTTGAATCAAATTTTGATTTGATTATTTTCATTCCGAAAATAATCCGTTGAATTATAGTTCTTATAGCATGAAAATGGCAACCTGTAAATGTGAAATGGGAGGAGGGATAATGATGCTGAATTTCATCTGTCTTCAGTACTCAATGATAAAATCTCTGTACTGATACAGGAGAAGTGTACTCCTGTTTGACACTGAATGAAAACACTCTCCCCTCATTACTTTTATCAATTTTAGTGCTGCTTTTGGATAGGAAATTTTATCCAACATTAAAAGAAAATGTGCTCATTTTTTTTTATTATTCAAGCTGATAGGCATCAATTATAGATAAATGACAAATACCATGTTATACTGAAAAGGAAGTTATTATTGAAGGTTTATTGATCCAGTTATTTTATATTCGAAATTTTGTGAAACCGAGAGAAATCTTCCTTGTCTGTAATGAAATTGTACCTCGTTTGTTTTCTTTTCAATATTTAAAAAAGAAACAAATCACCAACCATGATGATCACTATTGATCAGCTGGAATTCTTGAATTGTGATTTAGAGTTGTAGAGCATGATGAATCGTAAACATTTGAACAAAGGCTGCTTTGAAGAAGGTTTGGGAGCCTCGTCTTCGGGCATACTCTATGGGTCCATGTGCGAACGTCATGTTGAGATAGTTATATTACGTTAAAAAGCTTTAAATTGTATCTTTGACTATGTACTATGTGATAAAGACATTAGGTATAGAGCAATACCATCTTGTGTCGCACGCTTGTTTTGTGCATTGTTTGTCGTAAAAGATTATTTAATCCTTGCAAAATTAATCATCATGAAACGCGTTGGTATATATAAACTTAATGAATATTTTATGTTGAACAGTTTAGTGGTGTTAATCGACATTTTGTATGATTTTTGATTGATGTCTTTTTTTTTGGTTCTTTTTGACAAGATAGGCTAGAATTAAATGAATATTTTATTAATTAACCTTTAGCTTAGAATGTTATTAGTAACCAATATGTAGTCCTCATCATGGCATTTTACATTCTTTTGAAGTACATGATTGAATTAAATCAACAAAGGAAATAAAAATATTTTGAAAACCGATTTGTTTATGTAGAATACATATTTTTTTCTAGTTTTTATCATGGCTTTTCATTGAAAAAAACAACATTGAAATAGAACATGGAGAGAAAAAAAAATCATTTGAATAATGTTTAAGGAAGGATGCAAAATCTGAACAATATCTGTAATTAAACTACTAAAGAATTAATTTATTAATGTAATAATCTAATTGAAAACTGTCCTTTATTTTCTGATATCTGTATTAATGCTAAATATGGAATTTATATTTGAAGTCGCACTTTATCGTATTTGTAACACGATAGGTTGACTAATGTGAAATGTTGCAGTGACCTTATAAAGAGGAACCACTAGGAACTGAGCGTGACAAAACTGTTGGATTTTGTTGTATTTTACTAAATTACCGATAATCAAAATGGTTTTACCAGTTGCATTTCGCCTTGAAACGGTGGACAGTGGTTTTATTCGTTGTTTCTATGTTAATAATTCATGTGGTGGTGTATGATATCCCTGGAAAACAGTCTACTTTTTTTTTTATCTTCAATTTTTTTTCAACCAAAAGGACAACCATGTATTCATGTGCCTTGTATGTACCAAGTTACCCTTTTCTAGCACTTTGGACGAAGTTAATGTCTAGTTCGTCATTGTCACCTTGTGAATTCAAGATTTAGGTAGCAGAAGAGAAAATCGTTTTGATGTTAGATAGGTCAGAATTTGCATCAACTTAAACATTGATAACTGATGATAATGAATCCTATTTTATTAGATTTTATGCAGAAGCTGATTACGTTTCTAAACTATGATAATTTCTACACATATTTGTGGGTTTTTCACGATTTTCATTCCTAGGAATCATTGAAACATGATCAACATTAAAATTTGGTTACGGGAAGCATCGGTGATCTAAATTAGGATTAACCTTTTGTTGCATACGATTCACACATTTGTCACATGATCATGCCAAGGAAAGTCAGTGTGGCCCCGACCCTGTGAGGCCTCAATAGTTTGTGTTGAAGACCATACTCATTAAAAATTACATCAGTGTACAAATTCATTAAGCCGAAACAAAAGTTTATGTACATTCATATTTTCATCTCATAGTAAATTAACCATAGAATGAATTTGTGCTTTAACCAGACCTGGCCACTTCAAATCTCCACATATAGCAAATTGTGTTACCCATTTTAAGGCATGATTGTGAATCTTTAAAAAAAATATTTTTATTATTATTATTTAGATACTTCAATATTATGAACTGCTTTATTTATTATTAACAATATTCATAATTCTATGCAGCAATGATTTATGGATCAGTAAATTTCTGCATTTCATAATTAATATTTCTCTTACATATTAAATATTTACGAAAATACATTTCGTCGAAAAGACGAAAAATTCTTGTGAAAATGTTTTGATGAACTATAAAATTTTGAGAATTTTTTATATGATACAAAAAATTATTGCAAAAGTAGAACAATATTAAAAAGCAAGGTGAAGTTATTTGCGATAGAATTTCCATTTCCTATATATATATATATCTGTTTTGGTTTTGGTAAGGTATGACTCATGTATTACCTTGCTAAGGTATAGGGCCATCATGTACTGTATGTTACTGTACAACAAAATGCTAAATTGTTTTGGATATTCATACACACATAGAACCTCAGATGTACTTGTAGTACTGTAAATTTGTGTTTTCCAAGGTAGAAAGGGACTGTTTACCGTCTTTTTTTTTTCAGAAGTCAAATACTTCAAAGTAATAATCCATGTCAAATTTAAATTGTTATTTGTATTTAGAAATAAATGTTATCAATAAAAAAAAATATTGGTGTACATGTTTTTATTCTTTATTGTTGGTAAGTTCCGTGTTTGAAAGAGCAATTTTTCTTGAGTTTAGCATGATTTGTTGATTGCAAATCCAAATATTAAAAAAAAAATGATTGTAAACATTTAATCAAAAGGTTTTTTTAGGTCACCTGAGACAAAGTCTCAAGTGACCTATTGCGATCGCCTTTTGTCCGTCGTCGTCCGTCCGTAAACAATTTACATTTTCGACTTCTTCTCCAAAACCCCTAAAACAATTTCAATGAAATTTTTGCAGAAACTTTCCATGGCCAAAGGTCAACAAAATCAGTTGCCGGTTTGGTCCCCGGCCCCCAGGGGCCTGAGGGGCGGGGCCAAAAAGGGTCAAATTGACTGAAATTTCAAAAATCTTCTTCTCAAGACCAAGGTATGGTAGAATCAAATACTCTTCATAGATGGAAGGGTCTTAAGGTGCTTTACCAAAATTGTGAATTTCTTGACCCTGGGGTCTCACGTTTCCCCCTGGAGAGGGGGTAAACTTTACTATAGTTTATATAGGGAAATCACATTTTGGACTAATATTTGTTTAATTGCCATTGGAGGTAATTCAATTTAGGTTAGCATTATCAGTATTGGGTAGCAGTTTGATGGTATGCACATATGAGCCCTGACTGACCCCCCGGGGCTGAAACATAACAAATTATTCTTTAAAATCCTTCTTCTGTAGGAATGAAAGGATTTGGTCCATATTTGGTGTGGAGCATCCATGGGTAAAGGGAAACCAATTTTGTATAAACAATAGGTCTGGCCCTCCTGGGGGCTGAGGGGCGGGGCCCAATAGGGGAAACATAGCAAATTATTCATTAAAATCCTTCTTCTGTAGGAATGAAAGGATTTGGTCCATATTTGGTGTGGAGCATCCATGGGTAAAGGGAAACCAATTTTGTATATATACAATAGGTCTGGCCCCCCTGGGGGCTGAGGAGCGGGGCCCAATAGGGGAAACATAGCAAATTATTCATTAAAATCCTTCTTCTGTAGGAATGAAAGGATTTGTTCCATATTTGGGTAAAGGGAAACCAATTTTGTATAAACGGTGGGTGTGGCCTTCCTGGGACCTGAAGGGCGGGGCCCAATAGGGAAAATAGAGGTAAAACCTTTATAATCCTTCTTCTACCATAGGGATTAAGGGATTTTACCCTTATTCAGTTTGGAGCATCCTTGGACAAAAGGGACTCAATTTTCTATAAACAGCGAGTGTGGCAGAAGGGAGGGGCCCAATAGTGGAAATAGAGGTAAACCTTCAAAACCCGTTTTCTTCTGTAGGAATGACAGGCTTTTGTCCAAATTTGGTATGAGCAGTGGGTGTGGTCTTCCAGGGAGCAGAAGGGTGGGGCCCAATAGGAGAAATAGAGGTAAAACCTTTAAAATCCTTCTTTGACCATCGGGATTAAGGGATATTTTATCGTTATATAGTCTGGAGCATCTTTGGGCCAAGGGGACTCAATTTTGTATAAATTTCATATGACAGCACCTACCATGGAGTGCTATATCTTTACTTCATACCAATTATTTTAAACATATTCAGTTGAGCGATACAGGCCATCTGGGCCTCTTGTTTCAACAACTTTCCAAGAATGGCTGTTCAAAAATTAACCAAACTTGAAAATGTTGCAAACGGTTTTTATGTAGTGACCTTAAAGATGGCCACTATAATTTACGATCATTTGGAACATTAAGAGTTTCAACTTTACGGATATTACTATTAATAATAATATACAACATTTATATAGCACCCTTTTTAATTAAATTACTCTAAAGCGCGTTGCACCATATGGATAATAGTAATGGTTATAATTGTGAAACAAAAACAAAAGCTTACAATCACATTTATACATTTAAGCAAGCAATGTGCACATAATTGAACAAACAAAGGGTGGTATTTACATGACGTCTTTGTAGAGACACGAAAATGCAGACGTGAAGAGGTGAGTTTTGATATCCCTCTTGAATTTGGCCAGGGTATTCGACTTTCTAATAGCAGATGGTAAGCTATTTCACAATGTAACCGGGTATCAAAATGACCACTAAGTCGTTGATTTATTTGTCGTGAATTCTTTATTCTTAACATAGGTTAAAAAACACCTACACTCTGTAACGAACATAAAAGACTACAATTACTCTGAGCGTATTTACACATACATTGTATATGTTAAAAGGAAGGGAGGTAACTCGTAGATAACACTAGTTACATTCAACACGAAATATAAACTATAAATAGACACATTTAATTACATTTGACTAAGATAATAACTTTGTAAGAATTACTATTACAATCATCTTATTCACATTATACTAAATAGCTAACATAACGTTTAACATCAAACTGAATTTTCAGAACGAAAGATCTACTATCCTATAAATCACTTGCAAAGATCTACATCATAATGAACATAGATAAACTGGGTTTTCCCATATATAAGTGCAAATTTAAAGCATATAAGAGGTATTCACCTGTGTATGGCACAGAGCCGTTTCAACCCCAAACAATATATCACCAGTACTCCATGGTTCCTTCCTTTTGTTTACGTGATACCATCTAAAATGCATAAAAACCTTTCTTACTAATAATACTCTGGATATGAACATACAGAAGATAATGGATTAATTTAACCATTACATATTTATATTTAAACTGAAGCAAATACAAAATACTACTTTACACAATGTAAAGTTACAACTCACAATGGAGATTTTGAATATAGAGAATAATTGATGCCAAACTAATACAGTTTACAGCTAATCCATACCATACAAGAGAGCTAGATCCAATAGATTGAAATAATACTTAACTTAAAACATCACTTACATACAAATTCTCTGTCTGTCTTTCAGTCCCTTAGTCTGGGTCCCTGCTGCGATTGCTCCGACGAGTCTGCGCTAGACTAGGTCTGTTCAGTTTGGCAGGCAAGAGAGTTCTAATTTTCCTTACAAAGAGATTCCCGCCAAACTGACCAAAGGGTATTATAATAGTTTGACCAATAGAAAGCTGCACAGCTATCACATGTACGCCATGTGATATATAAGATACTACGGGTAAGTAATCAAATGATCACTCCCTGTAACATATAACACACACATCTCTAAACAATTTGGGAACAAACAAATAGACATGTAACATACAAATTATATAAAACAAGATAGTAATCACCCTATTACAACAACGTGGCCGAAACCTTCCAAAGCTCCGGTTTCCATAGGTCACAGTACGAGATTTTGGGACACACAACAATGATTCTGACTGCGACCGCAGTGATCGTCACGTGACAGCTGATACAGGGTAACCAGCTCCTGTAGGTACTGAGGAGCTGTTCCATTCAGTGCCTTGTATGTGTACACCAAAATTTTGTACTGCGACCTGTCTCGTACAGGTAACCAGTGCAATGAATATAGCACATGTGTGATGTGCTCTCTCTTTCGAGTACGAGTAACCAGCCGTGCTGCAGTATTCTGGACCCTCTGCAGACGACTAGTTAGTTTGTCGAATTGTACCAAAATCTTGCATGCATCTTCAGTTATAAACTGCCGAATTCAGCCGATGTTCCTGATCTGGTAGTAACAGGATTTGGCAATAGCGTTCACTTGTTTCTCCATGTTCAGTGAACTATCAAAGTATACCCCTGGTTGAAAATCAACTGGTTATTTTGGATATCGCAAAGATCCCACTCTTTGGACATTGAATCTACTGATCATAAACAACAGCCTAGGTCATTTGTTATAAACAATAGTGAGGGTCATTGGTTATACATAACAGCGTGGGGTATTGGTCATGAACATCAGTGAGGGTCATTGGTTATACATAACAGCGTTGGGTATTGGTCATGAACATCAGTGTTGGTCATTACTTCTAAAGAACAGCATTGAGGATTGTTTTTAATCAACAATATTGGTAATTATTGACTAAAAGTATTATAGATCACAAGTTATAAACAAAAAGCGGGTTTTTGGTTATTAACAGCTGGATGGGTCATTGTTAACACCTTAGGTTATTGGTTTATAGAATCGCTGTCTCACTGCACTGCCGATTGTCCTACACACATTTACCTCCCCATAACTTCCTTTTAGAAGCACATGGGCTAGTAAACTCCCGTTCATACACAATATATAACAATCTGAAGTCCAGGATTCGCATCCCGGTCTAGCCCCGCTGGGTTTTTTTCACACTCGGAACACTTGTTGATTATATTTTGTTTATTTTATCTTGATCTTTTGTCATTTAAGTCCCGATACGTATCGTTTCTTTTCAGAAATGATTTATCAAGGCTATATTGTCGTACCGGAAAAACAGTTTCCAATACTTAGTTATTATTGTTGGCAGGGTATTGGTAACTGGTTATAAACAACAGCATTGCCTATGAACACAGTTTGGGCCATTAGATACAAATCACAGTTTGCTTCAAATAGATATTGTAAAACGTTTCCGCAAGTAATTAAAGAATCAGCAAAAATGTTCCCTCATATACCACAGGAAATATAATTTAAAAAATAAGAGGAAGAATGCAGGATACAAATGGTATTTAAAGGACTTCAGCGTCCAGCGTTTTAAAGTGCTCTCTGCTCTTGAGTGGATGACACAATAAAATCCTGCATATTCAGAGCATATGGATTAATCACGAACGTTTGGGAAACTTTCACTGGATAGTTAACTTCCCAGCATTCACACAGTTGAATACCGGCCCGAAACTCCATGAAAACGACCAACGTCCAGCTCCCCAATATCGTCTGCTGGATAACCGAACTTCTCCGTAGTGAAGCGGACGTAAAACCTATCAATCAATCAATCAATCAATCAAGCTTCCCAACAGTAGGGCGTGGCTGATTTAGGAGATACATATACGATATACGTACACACGTTGAAAATGTTGTCCATGATCTTGTTGGTGAAAACAGAGAATCAAGGAACTTCTGAAGTGTATGCTCCTGGTCCATCGGATGATTGTAATCTTTTAGTAAAAACATTAATGGATGATAATGAGTCTCAGGAATCACTTTTCGAAGGCCATCTGCTGCTCACTGGCAAGATCACCAAAACTTAATTCCAAAAACAAAAATCCGGAAAAAATCATGCCGCATGGAATTTGGGTGAGTCATTTCTAGGAAAACCATCTTGACCAAAGGAACAAACTATCACTGGATATGCATGCAAAGGTATACATCCAATGGGTTATTAACCTTTTCAAAGAAATGATAATTGTGTTGACGAATCAACAGGAGCCATAGCAAAATATCAGGCAAAAGAAACAAATTTTGCTATGGAAGCAGCCTATGAACTATCCATCATCTCTTGCACTACATCGGTCGAGTCCCTCCTTACAGTTTATCAGTTTGGCTGGTTCCAGCGTCCTAAAAAGAATGGGTCAACTCTAACAAAGTCAACTCTGCTCGATAAATACTTGGCTTGGGCCACAGCTTTATCTGCAGAAATGGAAGTGTACCCGTTGTGACGGGGATCTACACACAAGCATCATGAATTGTACTGCATTCCTCTACATAGGCCGAACTGGAGAGTTATTCAGGACAACAACAAAAACAGTGAGATCACACGAGTTGATGAAACGAAGCTGTCTTCTCACACCGGACGTCTGTTCATATTTTGTGAAAGCTGCTCCCAAAACAAGTCAATTGTCATAGTCAACTAGACGATCATCAGGAAGAGAATGATGATTGGATGATAACGAGGATCCCGACGCTACAGATAAAGGGGGAAATAGAGGTTATTCTTTAAAAAAGGACTACTGCTTCACTACGAGGAGAAGGTATTTTATATGGGGGAAAATAATAAATTAATAAACCACTTCTTCAGAACTGATACTGTATTCCGGGAAGTTTTCGCCGCAGTTTAAATTTCGCACGTTTCGCCTTCCGATCTGAGGGCGAAATTAACATGACGGCGAAAGTTTAAAAACAAAATTGCGTTACAACGGCACATGCTTCGTCTATACTGAGGCTTATCTCACGTACCGTATGTGAAACCAAAGCCTCGCCGGACATAGGGAACTCAACATTTTATAAAAGAAGAATCCTAACGGGGAAATAAAGATAAATAATGAAATAAAGACTCTTAAATAATACGTACGAAATTATTTTGATCCAGGTTGGCAATTAATTTAGGAAATGGGATAAATACATGTTAACTACTCTATAATTATCTAATAAATGTTTTTACTAGTGTTAGCGAAAATCAGTCATTATAAAATATCGCAGATAAATAACAAAATGTACAGTTGTCTCTTTCATTTTACTGTTATTGTTTATCGACGTTAAAAATCCATGCAGCAATCATGGTCATCTTAAAGACAAGTGGAACACCGCCGAACGGAAAGGTTTATCAATACGTTCTATGCCCTGGAATAGGCCATGGCGAAATCGAAGGCTCTATACGCGCCACCTTGTGGATTTTATGTACATCCAAATGATCGAACAGCAGCGTAACGGTAACATTTCCTGGCTTTGAAGCCGGGTGTCGTTCCTCTGCAATTTTTAAAGAACCTGTATCAAACTGAAACCAATCTAATAGCTTATCGCATGCCTTCGATTTGTCATGAAGTATTTCAGGAGTGCAGAGAACGTAAACTTGTGAGCGTAACCCCAGGGATATCAAGGACGGTGAAAGGTAGGTAAAAGAGAAAAGAAGGGTTGATGATAGTCGCCTCTTGCGATGCATGAGCAGTGGAGATTCTTGATTACCCAGATGCCTCCAAATCAAAAGACATAGAAGACGACACCTCCTATGATACCGGGGTCCCACACTAGTTGCCTCTTAAAAACATGCAGTGGGAATCATTTATATATAATATATTTCTCCTAATATGTGTTGTTATTTCAATGTCTACCGTAGTGGAACTGTTTCAATTTACGTTGTCTAGTTCAGATATCCCGGGATGGGGGTCAATGAAAAATAAATTATCTGGGTTAGCTGGTGTCGTATTTAAGAAATAGTCATTAAAAGATAAATGTGACCCATTCGTTATATGTGGACAAAACGACAATTGCGGTTCACAGGTTTAAGACAAAAATACTATCGTGGATCACTGGCTAAAGACAGATCATAGACGTTGTGCATTAGTCCAAGACAAATCATCCTCGTTAATTGGTCTAAGACAACTCATACTCATTGTCCATTGGTCAAAGACAAATCATACTCGTTGTTAATTGGTCAAAGACAAATCATACTTATGTTCATTGGTTAAAGGCAAATTATACCCGTTGTTTTTTGGTTCATTCAAACATATTTTATTGACACTGAACTTTCAACTTATTAGGCCCTCTCCCAAACCTGTTCAAACTAGATAGCTCACTGGTAATGTCATTCTTAAAAAGAAAGCATAATCGTGGATAACTGGCTTAAAAGACAAGCTATGCTTTAATTAATTTCAAGTCAATTTTATTGTAGANTCAACATTGCTCCATGAATAAATGACAACTTGGCTTGCCATAATTTAACACAGCCATTGCCTATATGTACACAGGCTTTTCCTGTAGTATATAGTTCAATAGGTCATCTAGACCGTATGGAGCGCTGTTGTACTCTTTATTACCGATTTCCTGATATTAGAACTTGAAAGAAATGGTTTTAGGTATTTCCACGGACTTAGATAGTCTAATCTAATTCCTTGCATTGAGTATTTGAAAAATAATTTTCTCGATATCAAAAATTATTTCCTGGTATCAAAAAGAATTTCTTGATATCGAAAAATCGATATTCTGATGTATTAAATTCGCTTTTTTTTATATGAAAATGATCGTTATTTTCAGATATCAGGAAACCATTTTTTGATATAAAAAATCCGAGGAGTTGACATGAAATCTGATTTCGTAAAAATCGTATTGCATGCTTTGATATAAAAGATAGACGCAATTAAAGTAAGCGAATTGATCCACACAATGAGGCTTTGTTATATTTTATTCAGGAGTTTAAGCAACGTTGCTCGCTTTTTATTCAACGTAAACTGGCTGTAAGTAGTGGCGGGGAAAAGAGCGTTTTTTACATAGCAAATATTTTCTACTGCAAACCAAGTATTTTTGTTTGTTTCTTCTTTTATTACAATATGAATAGGTGGATTCCATTTAATGGATATATGCTGCAATATGACACCTTTAACTGCTGACCTTCTGCACGGAATTATATAAGTATTAGCTCGTGCCTTCTGTAAGGAATCGAAGCACTTACAAGTATCAGAAAATCTAATTCAATTTCTTATATCAAGAAATGATATTGCTTAATTAGTATCAAAACATTAGTGCGACTTTTGATATGATCTGAGTGGACTAACTGACATTTGGCATGATAATACTGTAAGAGTAACTTCCCCTTATTAGATTTTCAAGATGGCAGCTTTCAGGAAGGTACGTAAACCCAAGCAGACTTTTCCATGATAAGCTTGAATTTCACAGGTCATTTGTCAGCTATGGCGGTTTTATATGCACCCAGTTGCTTTTCTTTATTTATACAACAGGTGGTATTTACGTGTATGTAATCAGATACATATATATTGTGTATTAGGTGTTCGGTATGCTGTATCCGTCATGTTGACTGTTGTCAACAACCTCAGCCTCCGAAGTTCCTGTGATATGACATACACTGATACAGCTAAAACTGTTTTATATTTCAGCTAACACATATGAATACATTGAACTAGCGTCCTACTGTTGTCACTACTGAGAGTAACGTATTATTAGGCATCGCTCAATGTAATATTTCTCAATCTCATCACACTGTATACAAATGACTGTACATGTGCTTCCGATTTGTGTACAGTGTAGGAAGAGGGTCACATGATATGGTGGAATATATTTTTAACAAACCATACTATGTTCGTCTCTTATAACACTAGTTCGGGACTACATGTAACCATGGCGCAATATATAAAATATTTATTGGAGGAATTAAATTTATATTAGTTTAAACCAGGGACGTATAATAACCATACCACAATATGAAGATCGCTATTACTATATCAGAACATATGTATATACCGTAATATTATAAATATAGATATCACAAATATCGTCTCTGCCACACGTCCCTGTTTAAACTTTATTTTATTTTTACAACAACATTTCATGAAACACAATATATTTCATAAGGATTCAGAAAAAAGGTGATAAACTTATGTAAATCCGTCTCCTTTTAGACATATACAACCTAGCAGCAACTTACTGAAATTAAATTATATAATTTATTAATTAGTATTAAATAAAACTGGTAATAACTCTACAGCGCCAGTGGCTTGTGCTGTACTATTAATATATCATATAACATAACCACATCTTCGAAATCCAAGGGTTCAGTTTTCCATAAATACAGGCATAATTTTCAACAGCAGAGTCAAGAGATACAGGAACAGTACCAGTTTGCAGACTAAACCACTTAAGCTTGTATCAACTGCAAGATCTCATATATACAGATCACTTTTGTTATGACATATGCCAAGGCAGGGGTATTTAAGAACATTTGCATATTGCAAACAGACCCTTGGATTACAAAGATAAGCTAGTTATGCAATGCTATTTTGGGTACCAAATATTTTTTCTTGCAAGAAATATAAATAGACTTGTTTTTTTTTTAAATACTTCATAATTGCCCATTAATTTATCAGAGTGGATGGTACTGTACCAGAATATCCATTATGAAAGTAATTGATTTTTTTTTCATGAGAATTAATTATTGTTTATTTTGGATCATTGTTATGATATATATAATTTTCTCCAGGTTTTAAAAGAGATGTAATTGGTAGTGTTCAGGAACCTAAGTGAAATAGGAATAATTTAAAAATCGATACAAGGATGTACCAGTACTCATTTTTTGCTCTGGAGAAAACACTGATGGACATTAAAACATCTTTTGATAATTCAGAGATCTGTATATAAAAAGAATCAACAATATGATGAAAAAATTGATTATCTGAGCTCGGAGACTGTTCAAGTATCTGTGCTGTGTTAGAGACAAAAAAAATATCTACAGATATGTAATTATAACTATTCATAACTGTTGAAGTTCTTAATATCATTTTATCACATAATGTACTGTGTTATCCAGCGAATATACCCATGTCATATTTTTTGAGTATTAAACAATGTAAAAATGACCTTTCAGCCATGTGATTGGTTGTAAGTTTCAATTGTTTCAATTACATGACGTCAACTCGCAGACTTACGCACTGGAGTCTTTCACATTTCAAGGTTTCATGAAAATTGTCGTTTTACACGAATAAATGCCACAAATCTTGATTATGTGATAAAAACGATCTTAACTCGTTTTCATTTCATATAAAATTTATGAAACTTGTCACAATTGTTTTCATTTTTGGCTCGCTAAATTGAAAAATTCTTAGACTCGTTTCATAAATCTCATATGAAATGGAAACTCATGTAGTACGTATTCTATATGTAGGTCGAATATATCAATTGCAATATCTTGTGTCAGCTAAATAATAGGTGCCATGCAAATGGATGGTACTTATACTATTTAGTGAAATGGGTTTAACATTAATTAATGTATAAATTTATAAAATTAGCATAATATCTAATTACAGAACAAAAAAAGAGATAAGGTAAGAACAGAAATAGTGTAAGAGCTATAATTACACTGATATAAGATTTGTGCATAATGTATGTGTTTCCTGACAGAATTAACCCTGATTGAATTCCTCTTTGCTGTGAAAACTTTTGCACTCCCGGATGAACAGTGTATACTAATACTAATTATAAATAATCTGTTGTTATATAATAAACATGTGATAACTTTTTAACACATTGGAGTTCACTCATGAGTGGTTTTCTGGTTAGTTCCAATCCTCGATATCCAGAGGTTATGCTCACTTTTGCTCTCTACACCCCTGGAATATGTCATAGCAAAATTGAAGGCTAAGTGTGTAGCACCTTGTGGATAAGACGAGAAGACTAGTTTGGTCCTTTGATGTACATCAAAAGAATCTTCTGGTAGCATAAGGGTAAAAAATTACAGGCTTTGAAGTCAGGCGTGCTCCTTTATAATCTTCAAAGGACAAGTGTCAGCCTAGTGATTGGTCCGGTTATTTTACCCGACACCAATCAAATAGCTAGCCACGACACCAATCAAATAGCTAGCCACTGCACATGCCTTCATTTTTGCTATGACATACTCCAGGGGTGTAGAGAGCGAAAGTGAGCATAATCCCTGGATATCGAGGATGGTTGGTTATAACTTTGGCTATATTCCATAACAGTATATACCACATGTATATATCCAGTGGTGAGGTGACATTGTAATACATGTGTCACGATTGACGATTAGATATTGTAATTTAAGATAATTCAAGGGAGATAACTCTAACACATATCACAGACAGAATGTGCGGGAACCTAAAAAAATATTTTTTAATGACAGGAATCACAGGATGATGAAGATGATTACTGGTCGGGGATCCACAAGAACAAGAACAAGAAGAAGTTCAACTTGTTTGCTGATGATGTAAGTAATCCTCAAGTGTTTCAATAATTTTTGAAGTGATGGTTGTAGTGGTAACATTTTCTATGAAATATGAACCAACCATAATTACAAAGTAATTATAACTGTTATTCTGCAATTTTTAAAATGAAAAATTCTGAAATTGTTCTCATCTATAAATATTTAGATACATTGTTTTCTATTTTATATTCATATGTTGGAATTTCATCAGTCATTTTATTTCAGTTTTTTTACTCACATTTATTTATTACCCGCTTTTAGGTCAGTGTGGAGCAGGCTGATCAAATGGCCAAAACCAAAATTTTGTTGAAAGCAAATGACTTTGATGAGGACTCGGATACCATCAATTGGGATGGATCTAGCGTGGCGGTAACAAGCACATCAACTTCAAGTAAGCTAATGTATTGAGTGTATAACTAAATATGCTTGGCATTATAATATTGTTGACATGTGTGTATGTATGAGAAGAGAGGAAAAAGGAAGGAAAAAGAAAAGATATAGGAGAGAATTTGAAAAGAGCCCATGTGTGATTTTGAAATTTTAATTTTTAAACTGAAACTGAGAATAATAAAGTTCAAGTCAAATGTACTCATGGAAATCATCAATGGTTAGGGACCAATATAAGTGTAATTCTTTAATGTTTATGGGTTGATTTTCATACTCTTCGCAATGCATAAAACGTGTAAAAGTTAGTCAGATGCTACAGATCTTGTAGGTTCTGTAAGATCTTCACAAGACTCTCCGCTTCAAATCATATCCTTGTTTATACCCCACACATACACCAGTCAACTGTTAACAGTTATACTTCACTGATTCGGCCTATTGGAAACCCATATCCTTCTCATGTCAGATATTACGTTTTGGAATATTTTTCTTTAGAACTGTCTTTATTATTTGTCTTTCATTACAAAAAATATGACAATGATTGCGAGATATAATGAAAATCATCAATGCATGCACTTTGGAACATTTCTTTGAACGGTTGTATATTTTAACAGTAAAAGAATCCATTTTATTGCTTCTAATTTTTGAGGTGTTTTGGAAAATGAGTACTCCAGTACTCGTATCAATAACGTTGAAGGCTATGCCGTGTTAGTCAAGGGTCACCTTCAGTGCCGTATGTAATATAACTTGTATGATGCTTGCTCCCTTTGCCTGTTAGCCTACCACTATATCTACATGTATGCTAGAGAGCCTTGATGTTGTGCACCTAATATTAAACAAATGTACTTGCAACAAAGAAACTTCCCGTTATGAGTGACTGAGAAACTGTAGCTTTTAAAGCATGTGCAGATAAGATATATTTTATTTTACATGAATATTGTACATATGTTGGAAGAAAATCTTGATAAGCAGAATGTACTATTTTCAGTTCAAAGTAATCAGTCATTGCATTGTGACATCTTTGCTTTATTTTTGCAATGACTAGAATGTATGCATGTTGATCATGACCTTTTGACCTTCCTTTGCCTTGCCTCCAAAGAACAAAGTCCAACAAAGCCAGCACAAGATATTACCTCCACAAAAAAGAGTTCTCCTTCTGCACTAGCTCCTCCACAGTCTCCCATTATGTCCAAACTACGAACTCAGACCCACTCAAGGTCACAAAGTGTCACCTTAGGTAAGTTGTAAACGAACTCAAAAGATCACGTTTCATATCATGGTTGGCTGTTAATTAAGTAAAAGACAAATTTTCATACAGTGTATTAGGTAAACATGGTTAGTACAAGTTGTGCATCTGGTAAGTTGTTACTCTTGTGTCATATGTGTTAAGATGGGGAAACACTTTTTTGAGGTATTCCCATGGATAATTTATATACCAGTTTGGCACATTATCAAGCTCAAATAAGTTTGCCTTTTGATCATTTGCTTGAATTATATATATGAAGCTGTTTGTATGTTGGACTGAACAAATGACAGCACCGGCTGTATATATGCTCCCCAGGGAGTTGGGAAATATAGTGGCTGGTTGCAAAGGCCCTATATCCACAGATAATAATTTGTGAACTGCTTGAGATGATCTACAAACTAGGTTGTGATAAAGCGGGTTATAAGAACCTAGAATTATTATTATTATCATTAACATTCTTTCAGTTACAGGACTGTATTTTATGATCCATCATATTAACATATATATATCGGTGGCTTATAGACATATTCAGCAGTAATGGATTTTTCAGTAAAATCACCGGTAAATATATATAGTAAAACCAAGAAGAATGATCTTAACAAATAGATACACTATTGCATGTACAAAGTATGTGTATTCCTGCCTATTTAAAACATGTATATCTATATATCTGTTGTTTCCCTTCTTTCCGAAAAAAATAACTAACCCTGGTATATAAATGTATTTGCATGGAAGATAAATTGTTTTCTTACCCTGGACAGGTGTATCCACACTTTTACCAGTGTGAGATTTCCTTGTCTCACCCTAGGGTTGCGACGGGTGGATTCCCCTATTCATAACAATGGAATGACGTGACTTCAACAATACCATGACGTCACGTCAACAATCCATCAACGTGACTCACGTTAACCTTGAATTTAGCCTGTCACGTCAACATAACATTATGTATATGTTACACAATGGGAGAACAGGGTAAGAGAAAAAGAATCATTCACTCCCTTGTGGGTGAGATAGGGGAATCTCAACCATCGGAGAAAGATTCTTAAGTTGCCAAACACTTGGTAAAGCCTCGTGTTTGGCAATTAAAGAATCTTCCCCTTTGGGTTAAGATTCCCCTATCTCACCCCAAAGGGGGTGAGAGATTCTATTATTCTCGTACCTCAGACAGAGATATCCTACGTCAAATCCCATGCTAGATTCTTCTATCTCGTCTGATCTGTCTTGTACCTTTACGTGACATTTCGCGGAATTTTTACACTGCGATGTATTCATCCGCACGTTAACTGCTTGAAATTGACAATTTGCATTATAAATGTTCTGTTTTGTCGTTATACGTATAGTTTTGATGTTGTTAGATATTTGATGTTGTAGATAAAATATAATCTACACTGAAATATGTTGTTATCTATGTAAGGACGGACTACATTTTTACGCAAAAGCATTCAAATGTAGCTTAAGTAGTGAAGAGGTCATTATCATTTGAGGCCCAAGGCGGGATACTTGTAGTTTTTAGCAAAATGGAATAGTATTTTTCGAACCAAAAGGTGCGAGAAATTTTTTCTTATTACCTGTAACTGAGCAAGATCAGCTTATCTCAGTCTCGGGCTAAGATTCTGTAACATCCCAACCTCGGCTTACGCCTAGGTTGGGAATTTGTTACAGAATCATAACCCTCGACCGAGATAACCCGATCTCGCTCAGTTACAGGTAATAGATTTTATCATTCCAGAATTGCTCAATATATATGTTTACATGAGTTGATCACAGATTAAATGTAACATTGTAACAAGACCATAAATGGGAATGTATATTGAACATGAACTGATTTTACTTGTGTAAAGGTATCAACCCGACTGTGTCGATACAGCCAGCCACTGTAACCAGTACATACAGTAGGTCAACAGAGCGCCTCCCTGGCTCCTCCTCCAACATCAGTCTACAGGAAGGTAGGTCCAAAGATGCTGTCCTAGTTAGGGGTATAGCTCGTTCATATATCTCATTACTTGAACCAAGTCAAAACAGTAGCATTCATCTTTTACTGTCCTGGCATGAATATGTGTCTCCCAACTAATTATGTGTAACTGTATATGCTCCACAACATAGTGGAATGGCATCAAGTATTTTTCTGTTTTTTTTTTACCTTTGCCTGGTCGATTTAGACATTCATTGGTGCAACATCTTGGACAGACTTTCTGTTTAGCTCTCATCATCATCATCACCAACACCACATCATCATCATTACCAACACATCATCATCATCACCAACACATCATCACCAACAACACATCATCATCACCAACAACACATCATCATCATCACCAACACATCATCACCAACAACACATCTTCATCACCAACGACACATCATCATCACCAACAAAACATCATCATCATAACCAACAACACATCATCATCTCCAACAACACATCATCATCATCACTAACAACACATCATCATCACCAACAACACATCATCATCACCAACAACACATCATCATCATTACCAACAAAACATCATCATCACCAATAACACATCATCATCATCACCAGCAACACATCATCATCACCAACGACACATCATCATCACCAACAACACATCGTCATCATCACCAACAACACATCGTCATCACCAACATCACATCATCATCATCATCACCAACATATCATCACCAACAACTCATCGTCATCATCACCACCACCACCACATCATCAACAACAACACATCATAATCACCAACGACACATCATCATCTCCAACAACACATCGTCATCATCACCAACATATCATCAACAACAACACATCATCATCACCAACATCACATCATCATCATCACCACCAACATATCATCACCAACAACACATCATCATCATCACCAACAACACATCATCATTACCAACAACACATCATCACCAACAACAACACATCATCATCACCAACAACACATCATCATTATCATCAATACATTTTGTACTAGAAGTCCAACTTTTTCCTATTTCATATATATGGATATATGTTGAGGAGTTATGTACGGTTACTATGATATTTTTTTCCCACTTCACTGCCTTTGATTAAACTTTTCATGTCCAAAAAATTTCAAATCTAATGAAATTCAGCAAAACAAAAAACCGTCCTTTATTTAATTTACCGGTATTAGTGCTTCTGACAATGTAAACAGGTAAGAAATTTGATGACTGTTGAGTTCAGTTTTTGAGTAATGAAACTACAAACAAAGTCCAAAACAAATGGCAGTGAATTATAAGCAGATTTCAAGGTTTATCCGTATATATATTAAGTTTGAAATATTTTGGACTTCTAGTATTTGAGTAATGAAGCTGAATGAAAATAGAAAGTTCAGAATGGCATGATATCCGGCATTAATCAGTGTTTTAAAAGAATTGAAAACTCATTGATGTGTAGATCTAATCATCTTATATATTCTGTTAATTGTTTTCTAACCTGACCTCATCACTATACTGTTTTGTCTGCAGTGGTGTCCAACAGTGCACCCAGAGCTGTGTCTTCTAATGACCGAGCAAAGATGGCCGAGGAGATTCGCTTCCTGCAACGATCACTTCAGGTACTGATGCCTTCGATTCTTAACTCATTCACCCATGAAATTACAAAATGAACTATTCCAACCTTTGAATTGGAAGAGTTCAAACCTTCACCTTAAATATTTGCGTAGAGTGCACATTTTTTAAGGGGAAAATGATATATCAAAAAGAGTGTGCACAGGAACAATCCAAAACCAGTCTCTGGTCGCGATCATTTAATCGTTAATTTTTCAGGGAATTCAGAAATGTTTTGAAATACTTGCAGCAATAAACTGATTAAGTAAAGTTGTCATTTAAAGTCATATTACACCCTACATTCTGATAAGTATAATGTAAGTACAGTAGGTCTAACATTCAGGTCACTTTGGTGTTATGTTGTGAATATTGATTAATACAGGGAATGGAAAAAAATAAAATATAATGTACTGACGAATTGCATGATAATTCAGTACTCCGAGAGATGAAATTTTCCTGAACTATACAATCTTGGTTTTTGGAATGTGCCAAACCAACATGGTGAAAGTAGTGCAGTTCGTTGTTTTTTTGTATGCTCCCAAAATAAATGGCAAGAAGGGGGTTTACAGAACTCACTCTGACCTGGTACATTAAAACTCATTTCAGACCTTAACTTAAATATCCAAGAACTTAAAATTTATTTGGAAACTGATGTCAGTGGAGATTTCATTGAACTTTTGAACACATTGACACTAAAGAACTATTAAAGATAAAATTCTTCTTATCACATAGTTTCCAGAACTATGTATTCAGAAACGATTCATTTTGAACTGATCAGTAAGAAACTCCTAGTGGTACATACACAACACAAATGCAGTTAACTACCATTCTACATTTCAGAGAGCCAAGGAGTCGGGTACCACTAAGCTACCCGTGGAAGACACCGTCAGATGTATGATTACAGGGGAGGTAACTCAATTCTCGGGACTGTACAAATAATGTTATCATCTTCAGTCTCATCAAATTGATTTATTGTTTAATCTGATAAATAATAAATAAATCTGTATAAAATTTGTCTTTCACTAACAATTGCGAAAGACAACTGAGCCTGAAATACTACAGATTAAGACCTTCACCCATGGTGTTTTCTCATGTTGTAGCCTTTCAGTTTGGAGGTGTACAGATGCCGAGAGGAAAAGATCGAATTACTCGATCGAGCCCTTAATACACACGATGGAAATGCCATCATTACTGTAAGTAGTTCTTAGGGACTAAAACAAAGGTTGTCGCAATTTTTCTTTTACAAATTATTAGAAAATTGGAGATTTGTATGATGCAGCAAAAATTAAATGGAGCAAGAATGTATATAGTTTTCCAAAGTTGTAATTGCTTCAAATTGATTTTCAAAACTTTGGTATAAAAAGATTATTTAAGCAAATATTGTAATATACAGCAAAAATTGAACAAGGCAAAAACAAATACATAATGCCTTAATAATATAAACTGTAAGATATATCTATTAACAATAAAAACTAGTTTCACTTAGTAAATGTGGTTACAGTCAATTCTGACTGGTTGAGGTGAAGTATGTATATAAGGTTTTTTTGCAAGGCACTTGGCTTAAAACAAACTGTTAAAATTACACAGATATAACTCTTATATCATGAAACTAATATGATAGATATGAGGTCAGTTTTTAATGTATTTTAAAGGAATTTACAGTTCATTTCCAACCATTTTTTTTCAACAGATAGTCCTTTTCCTGCAGCGAACCATCAAAACCTCCATATTTAATCTTGAACTACAAAAGAGACCTGTCGCTGTGAACCACTATATTAATTATCTTAAGAACCACTATGATTTTGAGGTCCTTGTAGATTTACTTGGGTAAGTTAACACTATGATTTTGAGGCCCTTGTAGATTTGCTTGGGTAAGTTAACACTATGATTTTTAGGCCCTTGTAGATTTGCTTGGGTAAGTGAACCCTATGATTCTGAGGCCCTTGTAGATTTACTTGGGTAAGTTAACACTATGATTTTGAGGCCCTTGTAGATTTACTTGGGCAAGTTAACACTATGATTTTGAGGCCCTTGTAGATTTACTTGGGCAAGTTAACACTATGATTTTGAGGCCCTTGTAGATTTACTTGGGCAAGTTAACACTATGATTTTGAGGCCCTTGTAGATTTGCTTGGGTAAGTTAACACTATGATTTTGAGGCCCTTGTAGATTTACTTGGGCAAGTTAACACTATGATTTTGAGGCCCTTGTAGATTTACTTGGGTAAGATACCACTGTGATTTTTAGGCCCTTGTAGATTTACTTGGTTAAGTTAACACTATGATTTTGAGGCCCTTGTAGGTTTACTTGGGTAAGTTAACACTATGATTTTGAGGCCCTTGTAGATTTACTTGGGCAAGTTAACACTATGATTTTGAGGCCCTTGTAGATTTACTTGGGCAAGTTAACACTATGATTTTGAGGCCCTTGTAGATTTACTTGGGCAAGTTAACACTATGATTTTGAGGCCCTTGTAGATTTGCTTGGGTAAGTTAACACTATGATTTTGAGGCCCTTGTAGATTTACTTGGGCAAGTTAACACTATGATTTTGAGGCCCTTGTAGATTTGCTTGGGTAAGTTAACACTATGATTTTGAGGCCCTTGTAGATTTGCTTGGGTAAGTTAACACTATGATTTTGAGGCCCTTGTAGATTTGCTTGGGTAAGTTAACACTATGATTTTGAGGCCCTTGTAGATTTGCTTGGGTAAGTTAACACTATGATTTTGAGGCCCCTGTAGATTTACTTGGGTAAGTTAACACTATGATCTTGAGGCCCTTGTAGATTTACTTGGGTAAGTTACCACTGCGATTTTTAGGCCCTTGTAGATTTACTTGGGTAAGTTAACACTATGATTTTTAGGCTATCTTAGATTCGCTGGGATTCTATGTAGGTAAACAATAGATATGTTTCTATGGAGACTTGTATAGATTTACTGGGATAGGTTAACAATACTATGACCTCTAGGCCCTTACAGGTTTACTTGTGTAATACAACTTCCAGACCCTCGTGGATGTAATCAGTTATCAGTAGATTAATATTACTGTGTGACTTAAGGCCTTCATGAATTTACTCTGTAATTATATTAATTTAATTGCTACTATCAATTCCAGACCCTCAAAGTTGTACTGGCATGGGTTGGTGTTAAAACAATAATATGACTTTCAGCCCCTCAAATCCAGATTAACGTCTGTAGACAGTGGAGGTTATTTACCCAATCATAGGAGTGTATGAAATTTAATATCTTTCATGACTCGATAAATATCTTCTCAAGCTCTGTAGATATCAGAAATCTACCTTTACTCTGTTATATTGGTGCGGAAATACTATTTAAACTTAACATGAGACACATTTGTGACTTTACAGATTTCTGGGAAGGAACGAAGAAGCTGCAGTAAGTATAATTGGTGGCGATGATGATAGAAGGATTTTCGTGTTCAGGAAATGTCTTAAATAGGAAATGAGTCTTGCAGATAGATTGGAAACATAAATTTGGTAACTACCGGGTATATTGAATCTTAAAATGATAATGACTTCAGTGTGTATTTAACTGCTTAAAATGATACATTACATTAGTTACCTGTAAATATGTCTGCTTAATTAAGCTGACTACACGTAAGCCCATTGACAGTTACCTGTAGTTGAATCTGCCAAGGGTTTAGTTATTATAATTTCTTTTCAGATGTTTAAATACAAACAAGCCGTTAGCGCGAGTGACGCTGGTGTTAAGATAAAGAGTTTAAAAACCTGTCACAGGTAAGCGTCTTATCTTAGAATTGTATTTGTTTGATACGCTTATAGATACTCGTAATTTCTAAGAGTGGGATTTTTCTATTAAATTTCAAGATCAGCTCTCTGTGTTGTATGTTTAAAATTGCTAAGGTTGTACAACAAACTTCTAATTCCAAGTGTTAAACTTGATTGAGGAAATACTGTCAATCTTCCGTAAATCAAACTTCGATGTCTCAAACTTCTTGATGTGTCGAACCTAGGGTAAAGTCCAGAAATTTCCCCTTATATAACACTACTGATATTCTGCTCATGAATCAAAATTCTATTATTCGAATTTCTCACTGTTTTGAAGTATAATCAAGGCCCATTTGTTATGAAAACATTGATAATTACCACTAATAAATCGAAGTGAAATAATCGCCTGTACTAGAACATCGTAATGTCCTGTGGTTATTTTAAAAACTCAGGCTTCAGAAATTTAATCGACAGAGAAATATTGTATTTGATAAGAAATGCAATATTTATATTTAAAATTAAATGTACTAGCCTGTGTTTCGTCACATATTTTAAGAATCACATTCTGTCTTATTTACAGGCTCTCAATGTTTAATATTCGTGAGTCAAAGTCCTAATGTTTCGAATTTTTCAAGATAGTCCTGCAAAGTTTGTAAACATCGAAGTGTGACTGTTCCTCTTTTGATAGCTGTCTTGAACAGTTAATTTGGCCCAGATCTTTGAAATAGTTGAACATTTTGCCTTGACCTGATTTGTGAAGTTTTTACACCCTTGCAACATTAGTGGAGAAGCATTAAGTGTTAGTATTTTTTGTCATTTTCTAAACACAAATTCAACTATATTGTCTTGGTTAGACTTTCCTTTAGCTCCATAACTCTGATGGTCCCATCAGTCATCAAATATGTTGATACATCTAGAAGGATACAACAACAATATGTCAAAAGTAGGTCACTGTGACCTATATATTTTCTGCTTTACTGACCTAATTAGACTTTCCTTTAGCACCATTACTCTTGCTAATACTATAGAAGTCCCAACTGTCATCAAACTTCATATGTTAATACATCTCGAAGTATTCTACACCAATATGTCAAAAAGTAGGTCACTGTGACCTATATTCTCTGCTTTATTGACCTAATTAGACTTTCCTTTAGCACCATTACTCTTGCTAATACTATAGAAGTCCCAACTGTCAACAAACTTCATATGTTAATACATCTTGAAGTAGTCTACACCAATATGTCAATATTCTCTGCTTTATTGACTAGGTAGGTCTTTAAATTTCATTTCATTTCTTTGGTTTAACTTTGTAACTCCATTTGATCAGTTAGACTAGTGATTTATTCCAATTCTATCGAAATACGAGCAGAGTTTCATGTGTATATGGCTGTTTTACAAATATTGTTACATGTATTTTCATTTGATTGTTTTCATTGTTTCCATGCAGAGCTCACTTCATGACAGACCAGGGATTAGCCCACAACACATCTTTGTTAGAGGAGCATATCTCCCTACTGGAGCGACAGCGACCCATAGAGGTAGGCCAAACCCCACTCTCTTCTACTCCTTTCTGTACACACCCTGTCATTCTATACATACAACCAGTATTACATTACAAACCACTGTTACCCTATCGGACAGGAAAATGTATGGGGTCACCTGCCCAGCCAAATGGGTTTCCTCTGGGTACTCCAGTTTTTCTCTTGCCTTAAGACCCCTCGCGCGCTAACATGAGTGAGTGATAGAAGTTGAAAGATTTTGGTTCGTAATTTTTTTGGAAAAATTAAAGTTTGTAACTACTGTTACCTAAATGAGTCATATCTTTGGTTTAGCGCCATTTGAGTGTAGATGGAGGAATTACATACGGATGATCCAGTTTACTGTGTCGTTTGATGATGTCCGTCCATGCACGGAAGTGCTCGTATTTCTGAATGGTCTTCGGTAAACCACCATCCTCACACATGTACACTATTTGTTGGCTTGAAATGATCTTATCTGTATTATGAACCAGTGATAGGTCCTCTTTTAAATTGCTTTTATTTTGTGTGATACAATATTTGCATCTTAATTCAAGTGGCAAATCCGTTGTGAAACAAAAGATTGACCCATGTTCATAAATATATACCATAGAATTAGTTAATTTATAAGAATTTCACAGAATATTTACTTTTCATAGTTTTCCTCTGCTCTCTACTTTGACCTGTGCAACTATACAAAGCTTCACTACACATGTGTGTGTGTGTGTTGCACGATACAATTATGAAATTATCTCCCCCTTGTTCACTCTTCCACAGGATGCAGATGCCCGAGATGAGCAGGAGGGGAAGGTGATGCTTTTTAAGTCGTACCCGCGGAAGTCTTCCATCATCAATATGTCTGTCATTACCACGCTCTACTACTGCTGTTTCTACCACCCAGGACTCTCAGAGGTGGGCAGTGACTGTAAAGTATAATCTATTGTCTTGACGCAGGTTTAATGTCTTTGAAAATATTACAATTTTATCTTGAATAATGTATAAAAAGTTAACAATTCAAGGAAGATATTTTGAACATGTATAAGTAAAGAATGTTGTATGTTGCAGAATTCCCTGGCCAGCCCAGCTGCTATTAGAAGAGACTATAAGGTAATGATTAAAAAAAATATATAGTCTGAGGTTTATAAATTAAGGGGGTTAGTTCTATGTCCAAAAATATGCAGACAACCATCACTTCTGTGAGATATAAAACATGAATATCATACATGTTGCTATATTTAGAGTTGGTTTTATAACATATCATCCCATTTTCATTTTTCAGTGTAGCATAAATTGGCTTCCACTGGGTATTAGTCTGTATTTCTGCTGTAACTTCTCTGATCAGGTTAAATAGAAAGATGCAATTTTTTCAAAATCTGTCAGCAGCCTAATGCTACTGCTTTTGAGGACTTTTGAAGTGTTTTCTCGATCTGGAAAATGACAGCTCCGGCTACATGTAGTAACGGAAAACTGTATCTATATAGATACTTTATAGAAGATATGCTAGTGGTTTATCTCCCTAGAATATGGATAAATCTGTTCCTTTGTAATTGTTCATTTGTAAAAATCTGTTAGGGTTTCCTGTCAAATTTAGTTAGCTTTACTATGGTAAATGTGTATTCTATTTTGTACAGTTGACAGATAAACAGTATCTGTGGATTGCCCTGAGTGCCAGATCTAGACTGAAGCAATGGACGGGTATAGAAGAACTCTTCATGACAAAGGTAATTAACTGGAGGGAAGGCTGTAGCTAGTAAACACTTACGTAGCTTGTGGAAAAGTCTAGCTGTTCATGACTACCTGGTAAATCAACTTAAGGTAGTAGTGGAGCTGTTTATGACTAAAAGTTACCTAAAGGAAATATTTTTGGCTTTAGAAATTTTTGGGGAGAGTGTAGCTTTTCATAACTACCTGGTAAATTAACTTAAGGTAGTAGTGGAGCTGTTTATGACTAAAAGTTACTTAAAGGGAATATTTTTGACTTTAGAAATTTTTGGGGAGAGTGTAGCTTTTCATGACTAAGTAACCTAATGTTAGGTTGTAGCTCTTTATTCATAAATGTTCATGGGTAAGTTTCCTTTTAGGGAGGAGTGTAGCTGTTATATTTACTAAAAGTTGCCTTTAGGGAGGAGAGTAGCTGTTATATATTGACTAAAAGTTCCCTTAAGGGAGGAGTGTAGCTGTTATATTGACTAAAAGTTCCCTTTAGGGAGGAGTGTATAAGTTATAACTACTTGAGGGAGGAGTGTAGCTGTTACATTGACTAAAAGTTCCCTTTAGGGAGGGGTGTAGCTGTTATATTGACTAAAAGTTATCTTGAGGGAGGAGTGTAGCTGTTATATTGACTAAAAGTTATCTTGAGGGAGAACTGTATAAGTTATAACTACTTGAGGGAGGAGTGTAGCTCTTTATGACTTGCGTAACTTGAGTTAGTATTAATTCAGGTGTAGATAATGGTGGTATTAATTCAGTTTTGGATTAACAGAGGTAGAAATAGCCTTTTCTTGACAAGTTCATAATGAAGGACAAAAAGTTAAGACATGTAAAGTTATTTCATGTAAAAAAATCATTAAGTTTAACCAGTGAAATTGGTAGGCACCACGTACAGCCATGGTTTAAATCATTGGAGATAATTTGCTTTTACTTGAACTTGTATTTCTTCATTACGTAAATTAATATATCGTGGAATGCTGATTTAAAACCTTGCCATTATGAGTATGCACCTCCTTTAATAAATTTCCAATTGTTAACAGGGTTGGTTCGGAGGTACAAAGGCGAAAGCAGTAATAGGATTTGATCGTGTGTGTGAAGTTTTATACAAGACCAGTGCTCCTTTAGATGTAAGTATTCTCATCTTATAATTTCAATTCTGATTTTATTTTGCAATGAATTTTCATGGATACAAAACAGTCTCCTTTAAAGTTTGTGAATTGATGTACATGCATCATTGGTCTAGTGAAACAGTTTCTACAATATTTGTACGGGAGTTACAGTACATTATGATTTTTATCAGCTGATAGTATCCTGGTAATCCTTACAAATATATGCATAAATACGCAACAAAAATATTGTTTAAGCAGATTCTGATTTGCGATTGGTTGACCAGGTCTTTTAAAAGATATATGGAACTCTCCTAACATCATTTCTTATCTAAAATATGACAGTTATCATTTTCCGACAATGATTGATTTTGACATAACCATTTAAAGTAGGATGACCACGTGGGTTTTCCACGAGTACTCTTGGTTCGCTCCTACATAAAAACCCTACACGCACTTACATCCAGGCCAGCAAGAGTGATAAATATAACTTGAAATAAAATAACTTGTTTCATAATGGTTGTAAAATAAATAATGTTTATATTTAAAGTAGTAATATTAACACCGTCCATTGTGCTTGTTTTCTGTACAGATACTTTCCAAATACCTCCGGATGATTGATAGTACAGACAGAAGAATCGCTCTCGCCAAAAAGATGAAGTGCCATGATATAGTTGTTGATGTAAGTAACACCTCATGTTAGTCACAGTAGTAAGGATATCAGCTTCTGTAAAATGTCACCTGATAGAGTTGTTGATGTAAGTAACTCCTCATGTTAGTCACAGTAGTTAGGATATCAGCTTCTGTAAAATGTCACCTGATATAGTTGTTGATGTAAGTAACACCTCATCTTAGTCACAGTAGTTAGGATATCAGCTTCTGTAAAATGTCACCTGATATAGTTGTTGATGTAAGTAATACCTCATCTTAGTCACAGTAGTAAGGATATCAGCTTCTGTCAAATGTGTAACCTTGTTAACCTTCACAACCTGATAATTACCTTAACAGCAATTTTAAACCAAACTTTGTGTGCATTGAAAAATATTGAAATTCAAGCTAAAATTACATTATATTAAGGAATTCAATATGATTGTCTAAATTGTTTTGAAAAATCCACAAAATTTTTGCAAATTGGCATAGATGTTTTGAAAAAAAATTACTCTCAATCTTAAGATTTTGTATTCACTTTCATTTGAATGAGGGTTGATTGGTTGATTGTGAATTAAAATATTTAGGGTAGTAGACATTTATTTGTGTTATGATTCCTCTTAAATCATTTGTTTCAACACATTTGTAAATTCACTAAAATTAACTGATTTTATACCATTGTTTTTTTGAATGCTCAATGGGAATTTAAATATGTGGAATTTGAATGATTAATATAAACTGTATACCATGAAATTTTTGCTGCAGTTTAAATTTTGCCTTTTTTGCCCTCTGTACCGAGGGCCAATTTATCATTACAGTGAATATAAGTAAACAGATTAATTGACATAGGAATGAAATGTGAAGGGCAAAATTGACATAGTACAATGAAATGTGAAGGGCAAAATTGACAATGAAATGTGAAGGGCAAAATTGACATAGGAATGAAATGTGAAGGGCGAAATTGACATAGTAATGAAATGTGAAGGGCGAAATTGACATAGTACAATGAAATGTGAAGGGCGAAATTGACATAGTAATGAAATGTGAAGGGCGAAATTGACGTAGTACAATGAAATGTGAAGGGCGAAATTAACACTAGGTGAAAATGGATTTGATGAGGAAAGGGTGAACGTTTAACTTAACAAAAAATGCCTGTTATACAGTAGGCATTAATTATATATATATGTTGAGTGTTTTATTAGTTGGCATTTTGTTCATAAGATAAAGCCCCTAAATAGACTTGGTCCTCTGTACTTGCATATCTAGAGTAACTAAATCTCCCAATGTTAGAATCACATAACCTATTTGATAGATTGCAAAATACTGCAGTACCTGGATATTTTAGCATTTCAATTACAAAACAATGACATTTGTATGCAGGAAAATATTGATCAACGTTTAATTATATCATTATTTGAAAAAAAGCAATTATGATGCTGTATCCGTGTGTCTTTTCCAGACGTATCTTGCTATGAAAGATAGAGCAGAACTAACAGACTATGCTAAGAAGTTGACCCCACATTCCAGAGAGGCCTACTATGCGCAGGACGCATTGAAAAGCTCAGTAAGTGATCCAGATCTATTCTCGGTCATTTTGTATTAGAACTTTCATGCTATACCTATGAATACAGTTGTAGTTGTTTTGAAGATAAATCTTAATGAACACTATATTTCTTCCAAAGCAAGTATCTAAGCTTGTTGTTGTATATCTTGATTAGAATCAGCGAAGTTGAGGTTAAAAGTCGATTCCTTGTATTTTAATCGAAATGTTTGTTATATGTTCGTGCCATACTTCATTCATTGAATAATACCAGCTTGTATATTGAGATAAATCCAACCATGCATAACAAATAAATACATTTGCAAATACTTGGTTATGAATGTTTCCTGCTCAGACTTGATTTGCTTGCATGATTGTCTTAAGGAGTCTTGTGCAGCTCATTAAAAAATATAAACCTGTAGACCAATGAACTATGTATTATATATACACCAGGTAATAAAAAAATATAAACCTGTAGACCAATGAACTATGTATTATATATATCCCAGGTAATAAAAAAAATAGAATAAGATAAACATTCGTGGCTAAAATACTAGATCATTGAGTTTTTGGACCTACAGATATTTGAATATGCATTCAACTAACTTAATAAAGCTTCGATCTACTAGGCTCTTTGGTTGTATTACCATGGTAACAGTTTAACTTGGGTGTGTTTCAGACGGTGAAGTGGAAGAACTGATATTACGACAGCCCTACAGTGTTGTGCAATGACAAGCAGACTGTGATATGAAGTCTCTATACGTTGTGGGTGATGAGATTTCTGCTGTGATTTCCGAGTACACATTCCATACAACAGTATATACGACACTTCTTTGATGTGTGATTGGATAACTTGATTTGCAATACTTTATCTGATTGGTCAAGCAAATTTCTTGTCTTCTGTTATTGGTCAACATGTGTATTACACTGATTGATATCTATTTCAGGATTTAAAGTTGAATAGACAGATCTGTACAGGTTAATGAAGACCATGAAATTGTGTGCCAGGGCCAGAAAAGCATAAAAATCAAACCTCCTCCATTAGGAGGGAGACTCCATCATTTTGACCAAAATTTACCAATCTCCCTCAAAACTCCCTCATTCAAGTTGAACTCACACTAACTCAAAATCTACACTCTGTAGTCAAATGATCTAGTTACTGCAGGGTGTGTGTAATGATCATAACAGGTGTGTCTGAATCAAATTAATTCTTTTTGGAGTTATTTTGATTCTTAATATGGAAAAGATAAATTGAGCAATGTACATGTAGTTTCAGTCGCGTTTCACACACTTTTTCCCTCATTGGAAATGTGGAATAAAGGAGATCTGCCTCCTTGGAGGTTTCAGAGGTTGACACCTATGTATTAGACCAGTAGGTCTGACAATGAATTTTTCTTCATAAAACTATTCAGAAGACGGAAACAAAACTGGTCCAGTTTTTACAAAGCCTAGTTTATCAAATAGATGACAATTCAACACATGATTTTTCTTGAAGTGAATAATGTGGAAAATTGCGATATTGTTTTTTAGGGCTGTTCCAGAAATATGTTCGGGAGCAGGGCAGGGACTTTTTGAAACCACCACTCCCCACAATTGATTGCTGGGACCCAATTATACAACATATAGTATAATTTACTATACACTATGTAAAAACAGTTGGTTCTGATCCCACCATGCCACTAATACATGTATGTTCTCAATACTATGTGTCTCCATGTCCCCCCTCCCCCCTCTATTCCTTGATATTCATGGATTATAGCCCTTGTGACAAAGCAACAAAGTTTTTTATGTTATCCGCTCATATCAAGACATTGTACAAAGTGTTGCAATAAAAATATTCCTTAAACAAGTTTAAGGATATGTCATCATCTTTATACATCCAACTCAATCTTGACATTGAAACACAGTTATCATTTATGTCTTTAAATCTATTAAAGGTTCGACTTCCATTTCTTGTATGACATATCCCTGTCTTTATTTTACAAATAGAAACAGTATACAGACACAGTTTCGTTTCTGTAATATCAGATATTTTTGCGGGGCCCAAATTTCGTGGTTTCCCGACAAAACACCATTTTGTGGGTACATGAATTCGTGGATTACCAGTACCCACTGAAACGGAAAATTGCTTTATATCAAATTTGTAATAACTTTGTGGACCTGTGAATTCATGGATGAAGGTAACCCACGAAATCGAAGAAATAAGAATCCCAACGAAAATAAGTGACTTCACAGTAATTATCAGAGGACGAGGTTGCTAGTGTAAGAAGCAGCAAGGTACTTTTACATCGATAACCTGGAATTGTATGCAAGAGAATTTGTGTTGTTATAATTGGGATGCCTTGTTTATTTGCAAATAATGTGTTTTTACAATCACAGTCCTATTTATATGAAGAGTAATAATACGAACGATGTACAACATGTTCCTTTGTATGTACAGTAGACTGTAAACCAATGGCTTGCCCTCTGGCTTTTTAAAAGGAATGACTTGGGTACGTTCGACCTCAGGAACCTGTTCTAAAGTACATATGAACTATCACAGCTATCACCTCATGTTGATTTCATCCTTCTGTTTATGGGTGAAAAGGGCAAAAATCCTGTTGTTATAGACTTTATATCACAATTATCTGTTTTATAGAAGAAGAAAAAAAGTAGAATTGAATACGAGTCATTTTTGCAGCTCAAATCATTCCAATCCCGTTCCCAGTGATTTTTTTCGTGTCTTAATCTGTGTGCCATTTACTTTAGGTGTGTTTTGGCAAAAAAAGTGCTTTGTATTTGAAATACTCTTTTTACACTTTTGATGTGCTATTGTTAATTTCTTTATACTTTTTTATCGACAGATTTATTTGTTTGTATTTTGACGCTTGTCACGTTTGTTTATGCAATTATTAAAGTAACACTGTGGCAATTGTTGTGTGATATGATTACATGTATGGATATTATTAGTAGGCGAGTGATTTACATTCAGTTGATCCTAATTGTTCATCTTGGCCCAGACTAGGTACATGTACAGTACCCAGAAAACTGATCACTTACCTGGTAACAATCCCATTTATCTAGACACCTATAACATGGAAACCTCTCTTTCTGGTCAAGGTTAAAGACCTTTATTTGTTTGTATTTTGACGCTTGTCTCAAGTTTCAAGTCAAGGTTAAAGACCCGTTTCAAGATTATCGGCAGTAATGCATTGATCATTTCATAACACAGCATAATTTTTGTTCAGTTATATATCGTTGCATAATTGGTATTTTGATGAACTTTTGATTCGGTTTTTGGTTACTCAAGTGCAATTTCTTGGTAGTGCTCTAGCAGCTTCAAATGTTTTATAGAGAGTTATCATTGATGAAGACCCTAGTTATTTTTCTCCACGCAATGATTTAGTTCTAGACAAAATAAGAAACGTGTCGTTTATAATCTAGGATTCATTATTTCTATTTCACTTAACTGGAGAATTCATCAGTCCAAACTTTTAATCAGAAAAAAAACAAAATGTGCTAAAAACAAGATTGGGTTGTACATATTCTGTATTAATGCAGATTGTTAGGTTTATTGCAATGAAAGGCTAATAAATGCAATTGCAATTAATCTGTATATAAAATGAATTGAGGTGTGGATTGTTAAGTTTATTGCAATCAAATGATAGTAAATGCAAATATAATTGATTTTCATGCAAATGAATTGAAATGTGTTTATGATAGTGTCATTTCTATGAAGTGATTTTGCCTGAGAGAGTATGAAGTTTTTTCAATGAGATGAAAATCATGGAAGTATCTACATAAAAGTAAAGTGTTTAAAATATCTCCCTAAGGAAATATCTAAATGAGATGGTTATTTCGTACTAATTTCTAACTGGAAAAATTCCCTCTAAGGGTTCTCTCTGAGCTTTTTCAGCTTTGACCTACTTTGGAAGGAATGTGAGTTATCAACAAATTAAACCACTGATTAGAGTTATATTCTAGTTGTTCAGAATGTGCGATTCACAGACACAAACTTCATTTAAAGGTGCAAAATCTTGGGTGTTTTTAAAGATTGCAAAACAAAGATGTATTTATATCAAATTAAATAACTAAAATCATGATTGTTATACTTTTAGCCATATAAAATAAAAAGTCATTACGGCCCAGAAAAGGCCATTGAATTAGTTATTTTTGTTTGTGTGTTATTTTATAAGTAGAATCCCAAAGTGATAGCAACAAGATTAATAAGTGCAATAAAAAATACTAAATATGTTTTATGGGATTATACAAAGAATGGGGGGGGATATAGTGTTGCCCATGTCCGTCCCGTCCCGTCCTGTCCCGTCCCGTCCCGTCCTGTCCCGTCCCGATTCAATGTAAACACTTAGCAACTTCTTTGACAGATTTTGGTCAAACATTATACAAAGGTCAAGTATGAGAATACTTCGGACATCGTTGTGTTTCAGGGATCAAAGGTCAAGGCCAAGGTCACACTTGCTATATATAGAAAATCATCAACTGATTCAATTTAAACACTTGGCAACTTCATTCAATATTCAGTTATGGAGATGGTAATAACATGAATATTAAAATTAACTTATCAACTTTAAGTGTAGTACCTTGTGTGTGTGCATGTTTCAGGGTATCAAGATCAAAGTGGTGGTAACTTTTTATAGAACACTGAAACTAGTTTCACATGGCAGCAGGGGCATTTATGTCTTACAGACATTTTCTAGTTGCTATTAAGTTAAAACATATTTTAATTGAACCGTTTTCCATGTGTGTGATATTTGAAAAATGGATCAAAACTTTAATGTGAATAAAAGGATATACCATCAGGATAATTTATAAATAGAAAAATCAAAGTTGGTTTTACTTACATGGTAGATAATTACTAAAAGGATATCCCTTCTGTAGAAGATCTGGGATAAGGTCCCTGGTTAGTGAGTTCAATTATCACCTCTGTTGGGAAGGAGTTTGGCTCGACATTCTTTATCATTTTCAATTACCAAATCAACTTAATCAACAATTCAATAATTACATGGATATAGTGTATGGGTGGTTGGGTGGTACGATATTGGATAGCATCTTCACTTTTCACCAAGGTTTGATTTCTTTGATTTGACATGAAAAGGAGTAATAGGAGTGGTCACCTGTCACGTTATTGGGTTTCCTTTAGGAACTCCTTTCACAGTATAACCCTTAAATATTTTGCACTGTTATCTGGGCCAACAAGAAGTGTTCAGAAGTATTAATTAAGTGTAAGTAAAAAAAACCCAACTATTTAGCAAAATAAGCTTCACAGGAAATCTGGCTTTGCTTGGGTGATTCTCAATAAAAGGAAAATATTCCATTAAAATTAGAAATAAGAATAAGTCTTTAGGGATGGGGCTAGATCTTGGGGTTAATCTTGATAGCATGATTGTGTTTGTAACTTTTTGCCAAGAAAGCACTTTAATACTTATAGGGTAGTGAAGTCAATAAAGTTAGAAACTAAGATTTGTCCTCGGGGACCAGCAGTTCCTCGGGGACCAGCAGGGGACCAGCAGTTCCTCGGGGACCAGCAGTTCCTCAAGGGCAATTATGGTACCATGAGTCAAGTGTTTGTCTCTTCATGCCAAATAATGGTATATGATTACAGGGTGGGGATCTCAACGCTTTCCATAGTATAATCCAGGTACAATGTTCCAACAGGCAGGAATGGACCCCTAGACCAATCTAGGTAGCATGCATGATTGTGCTTGTTTTAGGGATAGAATATGTCGGCCGTTTCCTTGTCCTGGTAGCATAATTTTGTTCATTTCTCCATCTACGGTGAGGAGGTTACACTGCATATGGTTATAAAGTGGGGTCCGCAACCATTTCCAAGTAATTTCCCATTTTGTTCCTGTTCCCAAAAATATTTACCAATCATTATACATCAGAGGATGCTTCCTTACTAAATCTGGTTGATATCTGTCAAATAATTCCAGAAGAGAAATTGCTTTAAGCAATATATGGCAAGAGTAATCTGTTTTGACCCAGACTGCTCCTGAACCCCTGGGAACGGGTCAGGTTCAGAAGAGGAAGTTATTTGAAAAATGAAGTGTGATGTGATGCAATAAAAACTCACATTGGACACTGTTTGCACATGGTTAGGAATGGAGCTGCCTAAATATTGTTTCTTTAAATTTAAAATAAATCTTGATTCATAAAATGTGTTGTTAGCGAAACCATTTAAGTTCTAAACAATGTGTTTGTAATACTTAATAAAGTGGAAAAGTCCAAATGCAAAGGTCTTTAAATGAAAAGTAAAAATACACTGTTTTATTGATGAGCCAAATTAGATGAGAACTTCATTCTTGAAAAAAAAAGTGTTTTCTTTATTATTTATATGCTGGAATGGTTGAGATATTAACTCATTAAATAATAACATTAATATTTGGGGATTAAAACATATGCCGTTTCCATTAATGATTTAAATATTAAAGCTGATGCAGATTTTATTCAATTTTCAAAATTTAAGTCCACAGTTTTATCTATAGAACAGAATGGCTTTAATATGGAGATAAAAATGTATCAGAAGTATAGTCTGGTTGAGGTAACGCGTATAACTCTTAGAAGGACATCGGCGAACTACTGGATTAGTGTAATTGTTTGTTAGAGACTGTTCACTGCATTCTCGTCTGTAGTGCGCAACCTCAAACCGAAACATATAAACAACGTGAGTTATCTCCCTTGCTGTCGTCCATAGTAACACACAGCTACACAGTCAATATGGCGGACGAGATGGAGAAACCGAAAAGTAAACGTGTGTTTGTTAACCACGTTGATCAATACCAAGGAAAGAACATCGGGAAGGTAAGTAGAAGTTGTTCAGAAATATGTATTTGATAGACCGTTTAGTTGTTTTAAATCGCATTTCACTACAGTCCAATATGACACGCATCCACATGCATGTTTATGATGTTATTAATTTTTCGTCGCAACAGACGAAACATCAATCGCAACAATCTTCTAGCGCTCATAGTTCAGGTTTAAGTTATCTGAATGTCATCTCGAGTACTGATACTTACCAATAGTTTATTGTTTCAATATTGAAGTACTGCATAAGATAAAAAGATCTCTAATTTTGTTTTGATTATTTATGTTGTTATCGTCTTAAAGAGTACGTAAACTTGTTTTTAAATGGAAACGCATAGATCTATAGTACATTGCAGGTTACGAAGGTCTGTCTTCTTAGACCATTACGTTTCAGTATAACTTTTGCGCAGCGTGGGTGGTTAGAAATAAAGTCCAAACGATACGAATAAGACTTACAATAGTTTTGAAATGAAAAGAATGCACAAGTGGTGTGTAGTAGTAAGAAGAAAAAAAAAGATTAGATAGACTCCCAGATTGCATTTCGGTTCTTCTGACTACTTTAGAAGTTGAGTGTTGACAACCCCTGCTTGAAGGATACCAAGTTCAACTCGGCTACAGTTCATCTTCATCTTTGAACCTTCCTCTGTCAATATTGACGATTACAGAATTTTTGGAATTTTGGTCTTGTACTGTAGTGCGTTGTTATGTACAGTAATTTTTGAATCGGTAAACTACTATATTGCTGGTAATAGGTTTCGTATGGTAATGGTTCTTGGGAAGAAGCTGTATTTTTCTAACTTCAGGGTGTCTGTTCTGGTGTGGTAATGGACTATCTTTCTTGAAAGTGTAGATCTTGTCCAGGTCTTTGATGGAGCACAGGTGTTCGTTACAAATGTCTGAAATACACATATGCTATACTGATATGGGTCACAGCATATGGGTCAGACATTTGTAACGAACCCCTGTAGATGGAGTGAGATAGTTGTTGGCTGGTATATATCCATTAGGTCGTTGATGATCTTGAAGAACATGGTCAGTTGGGTTTTTGTTCTTCTGGTCTCAAATGACTCCCACTCAAGACTCTCTAGCATATCGGTGACACTACTAGTATTTCGGTATCTGCATATTTGTACTTTTTCGGTCTCGGAAAACATTGATGATTATCTTCCATTTTCAGTATCTGTCTCGGTGTGTGGTTGGTTCATCACTAGAGGAACCAGAAGAAGAAGATGATGCCATGTCAACTACCAGTTCCATTCCATTGATTAATAAGGAGGGTTGCTATGAGGTGGTTGGAACTCTCAAGGATAGGGAAGCTCCCAAACCAGACTATGTCAAGGAGATCATTCAGGTACTGAACTGTTTGTACTTGTGAAGATTATCATGTAAAGACATTTTTTACCTGTCATGACTTTTAGCACACCAACTGAACATTGGAGCAACAACAGAATTTGATTTACAATGTTTTTATAAATGTAGTAGTCTAGATGTTATTGTGACATAGTGATTCATTGTATTATTTACCAGATTGAAAAAAAACCATGTTTATATATAGAAAAAAAATGATGTTTATCTTATTCTTGTCAGTTGAGTTTATATATTTTTCCAAAATGACTGTCAAACTTAATGTATTTTGTCTGTTTATTGCCAATCTATTCAAGCCACGTATAAATTGAAGGAAAAGATGTCTTCATTGTTATATTGAAAACAGGTTTGAAATTTTTTAAGGAGGTACACTGATAATTAAGTTGAATCACAGGGGCACTCAACTACTCATAACATTGATCTTGCTAGACTTCCAGTTGCTAGATATGTAGGATGTTCATGCCCCTGTGGTTGAATCTGTATCTACTAGGAAGTTTAAGTAAAACAGAAAACCTAGTCACATGGGGAAATATGTTTCTAACATTATTTTTTCTCCATTTTCGATTTCAGTTTGAAAACAAAGACCAGCTGTATGAACACCTAGTCGAGTGTGATGTGATTTTGTATGACATCACGGAGGATCCAGACCAGATTGACGAGGCAGTCTGGGCAGTTTCAGGTAACGGAAATATAATTTAACCAACTATTGTCTAAGTATTGGGATTTCATTATCTGAAATTCAAAGCCTAGTTTGTTTCCAGATAACATGTATGTAATTACTGCAGTAAACAATTGTATTAGTTTATCACTATAAAACTCCTCAAATAAAATTGATCAATTGTCGTGAAATCAACAAGCCACAAAATGATAATTAATATGTCATATTAAACTGTGTTTACCTAGATGTTGTTTTAATATTTCAGAAATTCACTCGGATCTGGATAAAATTGAAAAGCCGAAGATGTTTATTTTGATCTCCACTGTGATGACCTGGGCCAAAAGCAAACCCCTAGACCCCGTAAGTATATATAAAAGGACCAAAGTTGACCCATTAAGACCAAATCAGTATGCAAAGGGACCAGAGGTAAATCCTTTGATTTTGTTACTTTTATTTTGTACCTGCTTTTTACCTACTATGTATTTTTTTTCTCCATTACAACACATGATAGAGGGACCTTCTTTAAAATAAAAATTGATATTAAGAACTGTAAAGTTCATTTTCCTGCTGCCATTCATATTCTGGGATACATTGTAATTAGCCTATCATTCATTAAATTTTATGGTGGAATCTAGCTTTTAGTCTCGGCACCGACAAATCTAACAGTCTTACGTCGAACCAATTTGGAGTATTAATTTGTTTTTTTTAAATGTCTTTTGACTAATTAGATTCGACTATAAATGCTGATCCTTTCCCAAAAAAGTAAATAGTTGACAAAGTGGCACATAAGAAAGGCCTGAGCATATACTGACATTGTCACTCATTTACAAATATTAAGTTAACCATTTATTTAATTGTTTATCAGTCAACTTTCCCTATTTCAGATTGATGATGAGGTACTATTTTACACACACACATATATATATATAGTTAATGATGGGAGTTGGGTAAAAGTATGAATGCACAGTACCTATGTGTTATGCTATTCGGCTAATGTATTGTTCTACATATATATATTTCAAACAACTTGAGGTATATTTGTATTTGCATGTGTCTTGTTCCATAACTTTATAGTCAGCTATGTTTATTAAAATCGATTAATCAAAAGTTTCAGTATATATATATATATATATCTGCTTGAATTTAGCTCCAATTTTTTTTTTACTTCTTTCCGATATCAAAGCTGTATTCATGTATGACAGTCAAGGCTGTGAAATGAGTTAGGTCTAGATCTGTCGTTAGCTGAAGTGAACTTTTCTGGTATAATACAATATAAATTATTTTTAATATTATTTTTCCAATGAAATAATTGAAAAAGGTTTGAGCCTAATATAGTAAGCACATAATCACTAGCTATGAAGTTGAATTTGGACATGTAATGCTGAAGACATCAATATATTGATAATTGTGATTGAAAATCTATCATTCATGATAATATGACACTGGGTATAGACAAGTATATTGTGGAAACCTTCACATTAATCTTAACAGTAAATATTAGAAATGGTATACCATATATACTATAGTTTTATCATTACATAGTATATTGCTAGTTTAGTTAAAAAATATATATCCATATACATGTATTACAACTTGTCATTAATATTCCATTATACACATGTTGTTTTTGATAAGAAATGTATTTTTTGTTATTTTGTCTATGTGTTTCTGTTGAATAGGAGATATTTTAAATTTGATAGTTTTAGCACATTACAACATTGACAGAGACGACTTTTGATTTACTTTTAAATATTCTTTGCATGATACACTTATACACTTCATTTTATTTTATTTCTGTTGTATTTTGATTAATAAGTCTGTGGGGTTAGTTTTAAGATATACCCACAATGCCTGAATAGATAACCCTGTGCGGAATTCACTTTCTCTGCTACATTTTCTCGGCATTATTGTTGTCTGTTTTTACCCAATGATATTGTGTGCTTTTAGGATGATCCAGAAATTCCGTTCACGGAGGACGACTACAGACGGAGGAAACCTCACCCCAACAACAAGGAACACATCAGTGCAGAGAAAACCGTCATCAAGATGGGCAAGACGGTAGGGTCAACATATTTGATGATACCTCAATGGTGTAGTTCTGCTGGCCGGCCTCAAGGCCCGGTCGATTTAATATCTGGGCTAATGAAAATTTTCAATATTTACTATGAAATTGTAACTTGGAGTAGCAGAAGTTTGCAAAATACACTCGTGGGATTGTACTCGAAACATGAAATAGTATGCCCCTCAACACTGTTCCCTTTCTCTACCAACAGCCCTTTCACATCGCCTCCTAGCTCTCGTCATTAAATATACCCAGAGTTATTTTTAATTATAATGGGTATCAAATATTCTGCGCTTTTAAAAGATGAGATACTTGTGTCTTGGATCCTGCAATATTACGGGTTGAATACTGTGTTTAAACTTAACGGTAGACCCATAGACAATCACCATGAGTATCTACTAAGTTGTCTATGAAGTTAATTCCTGTGGTGTGTGATATTCAATGAGAAGTATGGTAATGAACAAAAAGTGTTCTGTTTATTCAATATTTTCCTGTATTATCACATGTATATTTTCATGATTTAGTGAAATATACAATGAAATTTTTTCTTGCTAAAGGTCTAGTTTATCATAGTTTCAGTAAGTCTAAATTAAATCTGTGACAGATCTACACTGTATGATGCATACATTTTGAATCCCAAGGCTGTAAACTTCATAATTTTGAATCGACAACATTCTTTACTTTTTGTATATTGTTTAAGCTTTGTTGTATCGTTATATCATGATTCATGAATCGGTTTAAAACCTTGCCTTCCAGAACAAAGCAAAGCTTGTTACCTACGTTGTGGCATCAGGTCTGACATATGGAGCCGAGGAAAACATCTTCCACTACCTGTTTAAGGTTTGTTGTTGTTAAGCTTGATTTAACTCATTCACCCCTGAAGACACATTTGAACCCTTCCAAGTTAAAGGTTGGAACAGTCGATATGAAATTTGAGGGGTGAATGAGTTAAAAAAATGATTCAGATGTATCTAGATGTGAATATTGAATACTTGATAGAGCAGAATATAGTTAATTTGTATAGCTATAGTGATGAAGATGATTTTATTTATAGTTGCATGATGAGATGATTTTATAGTAGAATAGTTTGTTAAGTTATTATTCTAGCAATTTACTGTTGAACCTAAATAATCATGCAACGTTTGTGCCATATAAAAATGTCTCAATTTTGGGAAAAGGACCAATATGTTCCCTAAAACACCAGCTTGATTGTAAGAAAACCATATATACAAGGTGACGGAATGTTTCCTTTTTTTTTTAAAGAAGGCTCAACTGCAGTTATTTTATGTTTTAATACATTTGTGATGAACGGAACGAATCAGTTTTTCTGATCATGCTGAGTGAATAGATAGTGTGTTGTTTTTTTTAATTTGTGTATTCTCTTGTAGTCTGCCTGGCACAACGCACCACAGCTTCTGTGTTTTGGAAATGGGCAAAATGTTATACCAACCATCCACATCAAGGACTTGGCAGGGTAAGATTTATTATTAATGATTATATTAACATCATTGTGATTTTATTTACAATCACAATTTTCGGCCAATTTAAAGAAGAAGAAAGTTAAATACTGTTTAAGACCAATTATTCAAATACTTTTTAGAATTATTACAAAAATTCTGGAATTGGATATATCTCTCAAATGAGTTTTTAATAATTTACTTTCAGAAAATGATGTTTGTAGGTTAATTGAGCCCTCAGGTCACTATGCTTTCCTTGTGTCTAATCTAATTTGCCAATACCACCACATATTTCCTTGTGTTCCATTTAACTTGTCAATTACACATGTATCATTATCTACAAAAATGTTGCAGAGTTATACAGAACATAGCCGACAGCAGACCAAAGGTGCGCTACCTGATCGCCAAGGATGATGCACAAAATACGCTGGAGGAGATAGTCAAGGTAAATCATTAATATTTGCATTGGTTTTCCTCTTTTTTCCCCTTTTAAATACAGCTTAATTCTTGTAATAGCTATCGAAATAGCCCTATAAACAGATCCTTAAAATTTAATTTGAATTTATTTTTCTTTCTAAAAACGAAAAATTTAATGTAAGTTTTTTTTTTTAAATTGAAATTCCTGTAAGAAATTGTCTACCACCAAATAAATGAATACAGCAGTTGTCCCTTAACCTTCTCATGTGACAGACATGCTCAACTACCTGTTACTGTAGATCATCAGTAGCTCTCCTATTGAATACTAGAGCAATATACCATTTTATGATGGCAAAGATTTGTCATGAAATAAGAAGTTGTAACCAACCAAATGCTTAGTGTTATTAAAAGAAGCAAATAAATAAATACATGGTTTTGCAATCTATCATTCACTAGGCTGTGAGCCAGAACTTGGGCACTGGGAAAGTTAAGATGATCACAAAGGAAGAAGCATTGCTCAGCAAAGATATCGAGGTAAGATCTTTTGTTTCATCAGCTTCTCGTGTGGAATGTCTGATGTATCCTCCGCGCGCTTACATCCGGGCCAACAAGATTGATTAATATAAGCTGAAATCACTTATTTCATAATTGTTGTAAAATAAATCAAGTTCATTATTATTATGATCCTCCAAACATGCCTATGAAAGTTTAACCCCTCAATGACTTCACTTAGAAAATAAATACACATGTATGTGTTTAAAATTACTGTGAAATGTTATGTGTCTTACTTTTAGACCATTCCCAGGATGATTAACATGAGCTATCATTATGTTGCTTGAAATTTGTGTTAAAAGTATATATTTTTTTTGATCTTATTTGATTTGTTACAGCAATCTGACTTTGACCAGCTGTTGGTCAACCTGAGGATGGACGCGGTCAATGTGAAGGAGAACATGAGAGTGAACTGGGCAGCAGAGACTGGCCTTGTGGAAAACATCCAACAGATTATCAAGGAATACAAAGACTCTCGCAGATTACAGGTAATTATTAGGCCATACAAATTACAGATTACAGGTAATTATTAGGCCATACAAATTACAGATTACAGGTAATTATTAGGCCATACAAATTACAGATAACAGGTAATTATTAGGCCATACAAATTACAGATTACAGGTAATTAATAGGCCAAACGAAAAACGATTTCAGTTCCTTTCCAAAAATTTATAGCAAAAGTTTGTTATTTTCAGTAGTAATTTTGCATTTTACTAGAAACACATAGAATGAGATAAAACAAATAAAGAAATTGTTGTAAAGTCAGTTCAGTTTCTTTCCAAAAATTGAAAGCAAAGGGATATTATTTTTATTAGTATGATAATTTTGCATTTCCTAGTAATACATAATGAGATTATTTTTGGGAAAAAAAAGGTTGGAATAAAATGTCAACACAACCTTTCAGGTACCTGAGCTTCTTTAGAGTTAGCCATTTACGTTTGTAAATGTTTTGTTTTGTAGAAGTAGAACTGATTTTGAAGTGGAATGATTTTTTTTGCCAAAGTAGAACTATGGATAATTTTAAAATGAAATGGTACTCTATAATCCCATGGATTTATTTGGACTTATGTATTATGCCAGATCGCAACAAATCTTTATTAATGCATGTACATTGAAAAGTACAATCACGAAAGGAAAGAAAAATACTGTTTTCAACAGAAGCATCAATGTTTTGTTATAGCCCTTGCGAGTGTGTGTAGTTGGACCACCAGCTTCTGGCAAGTCTACAGTGGTTCAGCAGCTGTGTGAATTCTACAAACTTCATCACATCAAGATCAAGGATGTTATTGATGAGGCCATGGATAACCTGGTAGGTATTATTACATAAGGGGTTTTGCCTGTGTATGAACTTAGCAATACAAAGTTCAAGATTCTAAATATGTGACAAAATAAGATTGGTTTACGAGATGAAATAAACAGGAATTATCATTTCAATAACAGTTATTCAGTGCCTGAAGCAAAAGTTCGTATCAGAATCTGGTTTAATGAGCTACACCATCATGATTTCATGTTTTTCTGATAGTTTTGGAAAAAACTGGAACAAATCAATGAAGTGCTTGCAATTTACGGATTCATAAAATATTGAAAGTTTTGATAATGATGTACTACTGTCAAACAGACAAGGTTTCTAAGAATTAAATTATAATCTGTTGAAAATGGAAAAGCGGTAGCTTGGCGTATGTGTTTTTGAGATACATATATATAATATGATAATATTTCCACTCCTGCCAGACTACCACTGCGCGGCGAGCCGATTCAGAGGACCAGGAGGAAGAAGATGGGAAGGCTCAAGATGCCCAGGACCTAATTGACCGCATCAATGAGGGCAAGGACCAGACGACAGGCAGGCTCGAGGACCAGCATGTCATTCAGTTCTTCAAGGACAAACTTCTCTCCATGTCCTGTCAGAACCAGGGCTTCATTATTGATGGCTTCCCAAAGACCATCGAACAGGCCAAGGAACTCTTCGCATGTAAGCGCAGTGGTCCAGTTTACCTCTAGAATTCTAAGTAGATCGAGATATATGAAGGAAGCAGTTTGTAGCTGAAATTGTGCTCTTGTGTTCAGAATAATACTTGAGGCTAATAACTGATGACATATAGGTGTGATATGGTTTAGCCAACTTTTGTATAATTGGTCCTAGGAATTTGAATTTGAATTTACCATAAAGTTTATACATACTCGAGTATTATTCACATGTCTGTGTTAATTTTAGATAACAATATATTTTTATCTGTTTCCTTTTCATGGTCTCCTTTTGAACAGTTTTTAAAGTTTTAATAATTGAAAAGGAATATATAATTCTAAGAGGAGGTATTTAAGGAGGAGAAGTCTGACAAAATCATTATTCTAATTTCAATGTGCGTTCTTTATAATAGCTGAGGATGACGAGGAACCAGAAGAAGCAGCTAAGGCTGGAAGCTATAACAAATTGTTGATGCCAGAGTTTGTGTTTAACCTCGAGTCAAACGATGACTTCCTGCATAATCGTGTTATGAACCTGCCGGAGAGTGTAGTCAATGGAACGCACAACACTGAGGAGGGCTTGATACGGAGGCTGGACCAGTACCGCTCCATCAATAACGAGGATGAAACTGTCCTCAACTATTTCGACGAAATTGAATTCCACCCAGAAAAAGTCGATGTCACAAAAGATGATTCACATATGATGAAAGACACTGTTGAGAAACTTAAAAAGGTCATTGGAGCTCCTAGAAATTACGGTAAGTACACTGAAGTAAAAGGTTCACACATTTTAGGATTTGTTAAAAAATACTGGTTTTAATAGAGGTGTAAGATGATTTTATAGCAGAATGCATAAGTGATTTTCCAAATGCATGGATTATTGTAGAAGTTGTACTCAATATTATATCACAAATTATTGAAAAATGTTACATTTCGAATGAAAGTAACCATGTTCTGACATCGTTTTGTGTAAAAAGCTGTAGAACAAGATGTTTTTGTTTGTTTTAAAGTCATATCTGATGAAAGTCATATCAAAGATTATTTCAGATGGGTGTTTCGGAGTTCTATATGTCAGAAGCCAGGTCTTTGAGATGTTGATAGAAGCTACTGCATAGTAAACACCAATTAAGGGTGTTATAAGCCAAATACCTGAGCACTGCTTTAACCCTTTCACCCCTATGTAACTTTAGTAGACTCTACCATGCATTGATATGGATGAGTCCATTATGGTCTACAGTGTTGAAAGGGTTAAACCTAAAAGGTCTTTATAAAAGACTAACTGAATCTTGATTTTACTTCTGTATGACAGCATCAAAGTTTGGTTGTATTTCTCTTTTAACAGATTGACAAAAGTAGCTGTGGTGTATACATTATATTAGCTATCGTAGTATTAATAACAATGAGATACAAACATTGTTCTGCCATTTTTGTACAGGTCCTACAGCGGAGGAGTTGGAGGAGATGAAGAGGGTGGAAGAAGAAGCTCATCTGAAGCACGAGACAGAAGAAAGACAGGAGCGAGAAAGGCGGGAGGCAGAGGAGAGTGCTCTTCGTAAACAGAGACAAGAGGAATGGGTAAGTGGAATTGCTTTTTTAATTTTCAGTTTATTTTTGTTGCATATAAATAATGTTTATTTCAATATTGTGCACTTTCCTTTTTCAAATCTCTTAAATTATTGAGTTTGAGAATCTTACTTTCCATTTCATGTTATTCTCCTTTAGACTCAGCGATTGAATGAGGTGAAGCGTGAGGAGTACGAACTCCTTGAGGCCCAGTCTATACCCCTGAGGAACTACCTGATGAAACACGTGATGCCTACACTAACACAAGGTCTCATCGACTGCTGCAAGACCAGACCTGATGACCCCATCGATGCCTTGGTAAGCACTGCTCTTTGATTTGGTGGTCAGATCAATCTTAAATAAAAGAAGCTAGATAACTGACCAGGTTTCATATTTTGCTGGACATTTATAACATTATAAACAAATAGGTTTCCTGTCACACAAACATACGTGTAGGTAATGAAAAAAAAAATGAGATGTAATGGTAATGGGTCATCTCTGCAACTTTATATTCTGGGCTCTGAACAGTGTAATAACTTTACAATGCTAGTTTTTATACTCACACATTTAAAATTAAAATTCCGTATCAGATTTTGGCCTTTCTTCTCAAAAATTAGCATGGGTGCAAGCACTGTAGGTAAACAATCTTCTGTTGTATAAAATCATAAAGTAAAGACTTGTAACTACTTTTACTAATGTTTCAAAAATGTTTTGCCATCAACTTAATCTTAAATAAAGATTAAGAAGAGTTATTTTTGAAGATTTTTATGATTGTTGCCCTTTTCAACTTATTGTGGATATTAAAGAAATGTCTATTTTGTAAATTTGTTTGATTTGCATGATCTTTATGTTAATCTGACCATTTGTTTCTCTCTTTATTTCAGGCCGAGTATCTGTTCCAGAACAATCCACAGGTTGACTAACAAGCAATCATGAAGAACAATAAGACTTATATACTGTGAACTTGGATATACTATCATCATAAATAACATCAGCTATGAAATGTGCCTGTGTTGTCTAAAATCATTCAGTGCCCTGTGGAGATGTTCTCTCTAGACTAAGCTGTTTGTGGAAAACTCAGAGTGGATATATTGTCTAAGATTTCACCTTGCTTTGGTTGTGTAAAATACAGCAGTTTTACATACTTACGAGCATTCAGACTCAGTTAGGAATGGCTGGGCCTTTTAACAGCTACAGAATGTGATATTTACATAAGTTTTAATATGTACATAAATCAATGTAAAATTATCATTAAAATATTAAATTGTATGAAGTTTGACTTGTGCTAGTTTGATTTCTATCACTGTCAGGTTATAATGTTATGAATACTAAAATAGCTTGTGCTATGGTCAGTACTCAGTGACCTGTGCTATGGAGTAGACTCTACCATGCATTGATAGGTCAGTAATCAATGACCTGTGCTATGGTCAGTAAACAATAGCCTGTGCTATGGTCAGTACTCAATGACCTGTACTATGGTCAGTACTCCATGGCCTGTGCTATGGTCAGAACTCAATGACCTGTGCTATGGTTAGTACTCAATGGCCTGTACTGTGGTCAGTACTCAATGACCTGTGCTATGGTCAGTACTTAATGGTCTGTGTTATGGTCAGTACTCAATAGCCTGTGCTATGGTCAGTACTCAATGACCTGTGCTATTGAGTACTGACCATAGCACAGGTCAATGACCTGTGCTATGGTTAGTGCTCAATGACCTGTGCTATGGTCAGTACTTAATGGCCTGTGCTATGGTCAGCAAACAATAGCCTGTGCTATGGTCAGAACTCAATGTCCTGTGCTATGGTTAGTACTCAATGGCCTGTACTTTGGTCAGTACTCAATGACCTGTGCTTTGGTCGGTACTAAATGACATGTGCTATGGTTAGTGCTCAATGGCCTGTGCTTTGGTCAGTACTCCATGGCATATACTATGGTCAGTACTCAATGACCTGGGCTATGGTCAGTACTCAATGGCCTGTGCGATGGTCAGTAAGCAATAGCCTGTGCTATGGTCAGTACTGAATGACCTGTGATGTGGTCAGTACTCAATGACCTGTGCATTGGCCAGTACCCAATGACCTGTGCTATGGTCAGTACTCCATGGCCTGTGCTATGGTCCGAACTCAATGACCTGTGCTATGGTTAGTGCTCAATGACCTGTGCGATGGTCAGTACTCAATGACCTGTACGATGGTCAGTACTTAATGAACTGTGCTATGGTCAGTACTCCATGGCTTGTGCTATGGTCAGTACTCAATGACATGTACTATGGTCAGTACTCAATGACCTGTGCTTTGGTCGGTAGTCAATGACATGTGCTATGGTTAGTGCTCAATGACCTGTGCGATGGTCAGTACTCAATGACCTGTACGATGGTCAGTACTTAATGAACTGTGCTATGGTCAGTACTCCATGGCATATACTATGGTCAGTACTCAATGACCTGTGCTATGGTCGGTACTCAATGACCTATACTATGGTCAGTACTCAATGACCTGTGCTATGGTCGGTATTCAATGGCCTGTGCTATGGTCAGTAAGCAATAGCCTGTGCTATGGTCAGTACTGAATGACCTGTGATGTGGTCAGTACTCAATGACCTGTGCAATGGTCGGTATTCAATGGCCTGTGCTATGATCAGTACTCAATGTCCTGTACTATGGTCAGTACTTAATGGCCTGTGCTATGGTCAGCAAACAATAGCCTGTGCTATGGTCAGTACACAATAGCCTGTGCTGTGGTCAGTACTCAGTGACCTGTGCTATGGTCAGTACTCACTGGCCTGTGCTATGGTCAGTACTCATGGCATGTACTATGGTCAGTATTCAATGCCCTGTGCTATGGTCAGAACTCAATGTCCTGTGCTATGGTTAGTACTCAATGGCCTGTACTTTGGTCAGTACTCAATGACCTGTGCTAGTACTCAATGTCCTGTGCTATGGTCAGTACTTAATGACCTGTGCTATGGTCAGAACTCCATGGCCTGTGCTATGGTCAGTACTCATGGCATGTACTATGGTCAGTATTCAATGCCCTGTGCTATGGTCAGAACTCAATGACCTGTGCTATGGTTAGTGCTCAATGACCTGGGCTATGGTCAGTACTCAATGGCCTGTGCGATGGTCAGTAAGCAATAGCCTGTGCTATGGTCAGTACTCAATGGCCGGTGCTATGGTCAGTAAACAATAGCCTGTGGTATGGGCAGTACTCAATAGCCTGTGCTATGGTCAGTACTCAATGACCTGTGCAATGGTCGGTATTCAATGGCCTGTGCTATGGTCAGTACTCAATGACCTGTACTATGGTCAGTACTTAATGACCTGTGCTATGGTCAGTACTCAATAGCCTGTGCTATGGTCAGTACTCCATGGCCTGTGCTATGGTCAGTACTCAATGACCTGTGCTATGGTAAGTACTCAATGACCTATGCTATGGCCAGTACTCAATGACCTGTGCTATGGTCAGTACTCAATGACTTGTGCTATGGTCAGTACTCAATAGCCTGTGCTATGGTCAGTACTCCATGGCATATACTTTGGTCAGTATTCAATGACCTGTACTATGGTCAGTACTCAATGACCTGTGCTATGGTCGGTACTCAATGACCTGTACTATGGTCAGTACTCAATGACCTGTATTATGGTCAGTACACAATGGCCTGTGCTATGGTCAGTACTCATGGCATGTACTATGGTCAGTATTCAATGACCTGTGCTATGGTCAGTACTCAATAGCCTGTGCTATGGTCGGTACTCCATGACATGTACTATGGTCAGTACTCAATGACCTGTACTATGGTCAGTACTCAATAGCCTGTGCTATGGTCAGTACTCAATGACCTGTGCTATGATCAGTACACACTAGCCTGTGCAAAGGTCAGTACTCCATGGCCTGTGATGAGGTCACTCAATATATATCACACAAAATATAGGAATACTATTAAGTAAAACTTTCCCTGGAACCACGTCTTGTATAAAACATCTCAAAGTCGAGAACAATCTTACGCAATGTCTTGTCAATAGGAAATCTTAGATCTTAGAATCTTAAGAGTTGAGATGTTTTATACAAGTGGGTTTCCATGTTCAAATTACTTTTGCTTGAACTGTTATGAGTAAAAATATTTTATATATTGAATTGTTGAACAGTGGCCATTCACAATCATTACAGCCTTAGATTTAGGTCTAGATTACCACATTGCTTGAAAACGTACGTGATTTAATATTTGGTTAAGCAGGTTAGACTGATTTCAATTTGAAATTGATCCTTGTATTATTTCCATGTTTACATTCTAAATACATTGATAGCTGAACCCATGCTCAGATTAAAGGCAGCCACTTCAAACGTCGGAAGGTTCCTATCTGTAGGGCAACGACTTCCACCAAATTAGAGGGCACTTAACTCTGCTTAGCACTGCTGTCCGGTCTAGAACATCATTTCATTTGCTTAAATCAGAGGTAAATAGTGGTAAGACCCGTTCTTTGGTATTCTCTGCTTCGCCACCTGACTCTTAGCTTTGGCTTTGGTGGTCACCATCATCGTTGCCACCTCTGGCTCCATGGACAGATCTGCTTCAGACTCACTGGCCAGGTAATCATGTTTGACAGTACTCTCTTGGGCAATGCTAATAGGTGCTCTCCCACCATTACGTCAATAGGTAGTGCTATAACCCGCCCCAACATCATGCTGGGGCTATACACGGTACATGCTCCTAACACGTATGCCACGGTTGCCAATTTCGAATGCAAGTCCCAGTCCCTCTGATTGTTGAATACCTATTTACTTAAAAAATATCCTCTGTAGTGCGATTATAACTCCACAAACCCATCGCTTTGAGGTTGGTTTGGAGTTGTCCTTGTTTTGTCAAATCGTAGAAGCTTGCACATCGTCTGAATAGTTTTGGTTCAAACTTGGTTCCTTGGCCGTAAAGAACCTGGCTTGGGACTTCGTATTGGGTAATTCATGGGATGGACAGATATCCTAGCTATGGTGTTAGCTTCCCGATAAGGCATCGCGTAACATTTTATAGCTATCATACACTCAAAGTAAACGGCAACATCGAGAGATTCAGACAATAGTCCCTGAATGTCCAAGGCCAACTGCTCCATAAGTGCACCGACAAAGTGTTGCGAGATGTCATTATTCGTTGCTTACATTCACCACAATTTCCTTCTGTACCAATTCCCCAGTGGTTGTATAGCCAATACAGTGGAATCGTTGTCTCACCCGTGATAACGTCCCAGCAACACCAAGATGTCCTGACTCCGGAACGTTAGCAGTATCTGAAATATTTCGTTTTATTATGTTTCGAGCAAAACTATTTGAGGCTGGTCAATACTACTGTTTCTACAAGTTTCATTGTGGACAGTAAGATTTCGTGTCCTGGTTCTCATGGGACACACCCTCCCCGGTTTTTCATCACTGGTTTTCTGGCACCGTACGAATGAAGCCATGGATTTATCTTCCAGCTGAGCTCTTTCCCTGAGAAGCACCGGTGATTTCTGTTGAAGCGAAGCTTTGTGGGTTGTCTGACTCAGACTGCCTTCCTCTGTGATGACTAAGTTTCTTATCCCCCTCGAGTTAATCTTTGCTTTCTTATCATGGGCAATAGCCACATTGATTACACTGTCGTCTTGATTGTCATTTGACGTTTCCAAGAACTTGCATGTCATCGTGTAACACAACGTTTCCATTGAACTCAACCTTCTTCTTGAAAAGGACGCAACATTTGCGGGGAGATCTTCAATCTAGCCTTTTAGGGTCAAGTACTATGTCTGGACGACGAAGATGAGTCTCACAATCACCCGGGAGAAAAAAAAAATTGATAATATCGTCCAGATAACACAATAAAATAGTAGAGCCCAGCCGATACGCATTCCTTGAATCGCTCAAATGCTGTCGGTGCATTACACAAGCCGAATGGCATAACATTGCGCATAAGTCATTGATAGTAACAAAGGCAGTCTGTAACCATCTCGGCTCGACAGTAGCCACTAGCTATATCCAATGTGGAGAATAGAGAGGCACCCCTAAGTGCATCAAGTTAATCGGTATACTTCCGGTATGGCGTTTCCTGAGCTAGTATGAATTTGCTCTGAAAACCCCTGATTGGGCAGTGATATCATATTGGACATGGACATGTAAACTAGTGAGTAAGGAGGAGGAATGATACACGTTAATTTCCATATGCTGAATAATATAGACAAACTATTTTGCTCTCATTCCGTACCTGTGAGTGACCCCAGGAAAAGCGTGCAGTCGTGCATGAGTGTACGTG